GATCGGGCCCTAGAGCTGGTGAGGCGCAAAGACGACGACCTACTGTTTCCAACTCCCTGGTCGCTCGTCGGTGTCGCGATTTATCATGTGGTGTCTGCGATCCTGTTCACGAACGCCCAGCTCGCTGGGACAAAGTTTTTGCAGCGCAAGGTATCAAAGGGAAAGCGAACAAAGAGCTGTGCTGCAGTCACACTTAGCAACACAAATTTGCGCTGTGCCAAAGCAAACTTGCAATATACCAACCAATGCGGAGGTCATAAGTGAAATTGCCCCTGGCCAGCATGGAAAGAGATGCGCATCAAGCACTTCGGGCATGACAGAGGTTCTTGTGTGTCTTGCTGCCTCACAGTCGTGTGTAAGAACTGTAGTAAGTAACACTAGTTCATTTTTATTTGCATAAAACGGCATCGACTTCTTTGGTGGTGAGCGGGTGCAGATGGCAGACGCCCAAAAACAATGGCACAACCTGACTACAGACGCGCGCCCGGCCGTTGTCGCGGCGGCGCCCCTTTCTTTTCGAATGAACGAGTGCACGGGCGAGGGAGAGAGTGGGCGCATGTGGGACGTCGCGAAGGAGTACGCCTTCAAAAACGCGGGCCGGCTTCCACACGGGTGGAAGGGCTGGTTCGGTTGGAGCCAACGCGAGGCGAATGCGACCGCCGTCGCGAAGTTCGAGCACGCTCTCGGCCCGGGGCGCCTGCCGGTTTTGGTGGTGGCCGATGTGGTCGACGTGACGGACCGATCGGAGTTTCAGCGCGAGAATTTCCGCGAGCGGTTTGAATTGCTCGGCGCGGGCCTGAGGGGCTGGTGGCGTCGGCTTTTCCACACCCAGATGCACATGCTAATGCGTTGTGAAAAGTGGAGCGACCGATTGAACATTCGCGGCATACTACGCAAGAAGAAAACTGTGTATAGTACAAGTTTCTTCAAGGAATAGCATCACAAGTTTGCTCTGCATTACACAGAAAGCCTGTCATGCGTAGCTAGTACTTGAAAACACGTACGAAGATCGCCTTTGATGCATATCCAGCATGACAAGTGTAACAGTTTTGCATTTTCTGCAACACAAATTTACACTTACACACTTTTTTTCTTCTACACATACTGGCCGTCGACGAGGGGGACGTAGCACAGGTGAGAGACGCCGTCCGGGCGGCGGTTCGCCTGGTCGCCAACAGCAGGAAGCTCCCCAGCCGTGCAGGTAATAAGAAGAACACCACTGCGGATGATTTTCGAAACTCGACACCGCAAGTTGAAACAGAAATGTTCGGAGACCACCTAGAGGTCGTGCCAGGGGAACGACCCGAGCCGTTGAAGCTGGTCGTGATGACGGTTGCCGAGGCCGACAAAGAGCTCAGCCTCTTTACAAATCGCGGCGCAAAGGAATGGATTCCTGCCGATTTGCTCGCAGAGTGGTACACTCGACACGCGATTGATTTTTCCACCGACTAGCTCTAGTCGTAGTCACCCTCACGACTCATCAGCCGTAGCGGCCGCACAAGCACAACTGTTCCAACATGATCCGTCGTCTTCTCTGGTGGAGAAAATGGGCAGCAGTTCTTGTGCAGCTGGAAAAATCCGCAAGAACGGAGCATGATGCAGCTCCGCGGAGCTACCAAATTAGATTCTTGGAAAACAGAAAGCTAGATCCCTTTGGAGATATCAGAAATTATACGGAACTAAGAGGGCACGCACTTGAATTTTTACCCGCCTGAACTACCAGCACCACTACGATGGGAAAATAAATCTCGAATTACCTCGCGGCCATGCGGTCTAGCAGTTATTTTTGTTCTATTTCACTTACTCATGGTCATGCCTCGTGCATAAGTATGTGGGAGCACATGGCTGGCATATTAGAATTTTCAATTTTGTACTGATCTAGTAAAACGTCATTCGTAACAACTGCAACGGGCGGAACATGAAACCGGCTTGATGCAGTAGTGAGTGAGAGAAGAGGATGAGTGAGCTGCAAGATGTGATGAAATTTTGAACGCAAGAAGATGAACATGCCAGTTAAAGCTCGTGTGTTGCAACGCGAAGATGTAGTACTACGTGGGAAGAAGATCATCACATGCCTGGGTAGAAGTACGTCGACCGTTCAATTCGTAAAAACGGCGCATCACGGACACGAGTGCCATTCATTCTTGAAGATATGGATGAGTAAATGATCAAAAGCTTTTTAGGAAGAGCAGAAGCAAGTTACTTATCATGCTCTGTGACGTAGTACCCTACTAGTAAACTTCCTGGAATAAATTAAAGCTGACCACACGTTGAGAGATGCACGTAAATGATTTCTCTGACTGTAGTCAACTTCCGCTACTGCACGACGTACACTTTAGTAAATGCCTGAAGTATGCTCTTTTCTCGCAATTGTCACAACTTTCCGCCCCGCAGCGGTAGAGGCCGGGAAGTCGAAATAGCCTATGCTCGTAGAAGTTCTTTACCAATGCAAATTGTAATTGTGGGTCGAAGAACAAGAAGTGTCTGGTCGAAATACTTATTTTCACACGTCGAAAGAACAAATCGTTGATCCGTAGCTTAGGAGAAATAAACTCTTGTACTGCTTCCGTATAATCGCACGACTATACAGTTATCACGTTGAGAGTTTTTCTTAGTTTCGCTCCGCAAAGATTTTTTTACTGATTACGTATCGTCATTGTGATACTTCTCTTCACTTCTTGCACGTCGAGGACGCTGTAAACTAGCTAGAACAAATCAAGCAAGATGCCGAGCACCAGCAAAGCTTCCAGCTCTACGGCGATGAAGTCGATGAAGAAAACTTATGCAATGCAAAAGCATCGTACTAGTATAAATTGCATTACAAATTAGCCCAGCGTGGTTACAGATTAAATTTGTAATGCTGACTCACCTTGAGAAAGAGATTTGTCATGCATAGATGCAATTACTACGAGTGCGATAGTTTTGCAGTTCATAAAACCGCTTCCGAAGCGATGAAGAAGTCGTCCGAGGCTGCAACGTATGCCTGGCAAATATGTCTGGGTCTGGAAACTTGTGATGCAAGAAAGAGAACAGTGAACTCACTATGATGCGCTGCCAAGCATGGCAAGTTTTTTTCATGGTTCTGAGTTGTGTACTCCGCATGACAAACCGCGTTTTTGCATGACGGGGGGGAGGAGCTCTTCGCGGCCGTGCAACACAGAGCTCAGAGTCATGCCAGGCTTGCATGACAAATCTCGCAATCTCCCAGACCCAGACATTTTTGCAATTCATACAACGACCAGCATGAAGAAGGCTGTATTATATCAAGGATATTTACAACTTGTTCAACATCCTAAGTCGACATTATGAGGACCACTCCAAAACTTAGAATGAAAGTAGAAAATTAAAATCGATTTGCATGAGGCGGGGAATTATCCTCAACTAGACGGGCAGTAAAATAAGTACTGGAAAAAAAATCATGCGATATACAACAAGAAACAAATATTACAGATGAAGGCCGCTCCAGTGACCGCTATGAAGAAGATGTCGGAGCCGGTCGCAAAGAAAGCTGCCTCAGCAATGAAGAAGGCAATGAAGTCCGTATCCTGTGTAAAAACGTCCCAACTCCCCATAGTTGTCATGCAAATGCGCAATGACAGGAATGGAAGACGAGGAGTTAGATTTGTAAATGCCCATCTCCATGACAGGCATTTCATTTGCAATCGTGTTTTGGCGTTTGTAATGCTGTGAACAATGCGGCTTCCCTTGCTAACCAGCACTACACTGCAGATGGAAACTTGTCATGCGCAACTCCTAAGACTTGGAGACTTGTGTTGCAGATTTACCAACCTGACTACGGGGTGGGGACGTTTTTGCTTTTGATAGTCCGCCATGAAGGTAGCACCAATGAAGGCAGCACCCGCGGCTGCGCCAGCATCGGAGGAGGAAGAGCCGGTCGTGGAGGTATAGAATCTATTGCAAGTGTTGCTTCCCTGGCATTAAGAAGTATCTATGCATAAACCATAGATATTAGAAGCAAGCGTGATAATAAAGCTACAGACATATTACTGCTCTCATGAAGATGATGAAGGAAAACGTTCTTCCTTTGCTGAAAATCCAAACCACCGGATCATCCCTACAACTTCCACAGGAACAAACTACTGCGGTCGCGAGAAAGTCGTACTTTGCCTTCCTGGGAAACGGGGTCGCGCTGTACTCCATCAGTCTTCTGGTCGTGCTCCTCTCCCTGATCGCCTACTTTTACGTGTTCCTGTACGGGTTTCCGGAAACCACCGCGCTGACCGGCTTCTTCGCGAATCTGGACAAGCACCTGAATGATTTCAGCGTCTACGTGAGCAAGTTCGTCGAGGACCTGCTCGGTAGCGGCTCCGCTGCTCCGGTCAAGAAGACCATGATGGCCCAAGCCCCGGCTGCCGGTACCGCCCCGTCCACGGTGAATGTGAATGCCGCGGTGAAGGGCGCCGCCAAGATGGCGGAAAAAGGCATGAAGGGAATGACGAAGGGTGGAATTTAAAATCGGGGTGAATTTTTCACGGGGTGGACAAAGATTTTTGATATAAAAAAGAAAGCACTTGGTACAACACCATGATTGATCATACAACACGAAATAAAGATGGGGAGCTGGTGCAGAAAAGACACCGCAGGTCCAAAAACAACGTCTCCGCAATGAACTCGCTAATGTCATGATTTATTTCAGCTACTTGCTACACTCAGCCGGACGGCAAAGATACCTGTCCTGGCCTGAGCCTGTAGCACGCGCTGTCAAGAAGAAGAACCCCTTTATTATACGTAAGTACAATATTAAATTTAAGTCGTGCTACAAGACGAATGCAACATGTATTTTCCGCACGATGGAGATAGTGCTGGGGTTCAAACAATTCCATCCAGTTTACTTACAATTGTCGCTGAATTAAGAACAATTTTAATTCTGCAATCGTGATTTCGATTGTGGAATCTCATGTACAACCATCCAGTTTACTCGTAACTTCAACAAAACTCGAAACGAAAACCAGAACTGATCAGAGTATGGTGCCGGTCAGCTCTGGACCAAGGGCACTTTTGCGGAGGTGGACTTGCAACTAGATCGGGCTCGTCCTCAGCAGAGATACTACTAGTATGTCGCAAAAAGCTTGTTGTACAAGAAGATGAAACGACGCGCTTAACAAGTTTTCAAACTGTAATATGATTCTATGTGCTGCTATTGTACTATTTCATATCAAAATAAATTCACAAGTCAAAGACACCACTTGCTCTCCCTAGAGGTCTTTGCAGATGATGTCGCAAGACGCCGGAGCGCCGCTGTTGTCTCGCTGACGGTATTTAGCCCTTCGACCGGCATTCGTATCTAGTAGCATTTTCGTATGAGGGGATGATCGAGGAGAGTGCCTCGTCGGAGTAGCTGGTGAAGAGAGGACAGCATGGTTGTAAGACAGTAGCTTAAGATAGCAGCTCACCTCAGTTCCCTAGCTTGGTCTCAACATGGTTTCTTTGTCTTGTGCCTTAATGTGTCGTGGGATTGATTGTTCATGCCTACTTATGTCGTTTTTCAGCATACTATTCGCTCCAGTTTGTTAGACGAATCAATATGTAGTTTCGCTGCAATTGACCACTCGAATTTCAACCAGAAACCTATACAAAATGACGGTCAAAGCCTATGGGGAAATGACGAATTCGCTCGCAATGCGGGAGCGCGAGCGGAAACTTGTGGAGCTGCAGTCGCCGACAGCAGCGAAAGCCACATCTTCCTTTGTTGTTGCAGGAACAAGCAGCCACGTGGCGAACCCTTTTGCTTCATCAGCAGTGTCGTCCTCTTCTGCTAACGCCAATGCAGTCACAAAGCCGTTTCAACAAACCAGTTCCGCCGGACTGTTTGTCGCTGCCGCAAACGTCGCGGAGGGCTACGATGTCGTGCCACTTCCGGTACTAATTGGATTGCATCTTGATCAACTTATACTTGTTTCTACTTTTTTTGCAGGAACAAGTCTTTCGCACGTAGTGCTCAATGTAGCCAAAAGAAGCAAGTACTGCATCTCCCGTTTTATTATTCATAAAAAAAAATTCACAACAGCAAGCGTATCCGAAGCTTTCTGGAAGCAGTGCAGTGTTACTGGTTTTCGGGATGCTACTACTCTGGTTCGAGTTGACACTCGCGTGCTTTTCGCAGACGGACGTGTTTACGCAAATTCGGTTATCCTGAGTAAAAACGTACCCACACCATAGTCAAGTTGGGGAATCGGCTAGACAAATCCACAAGTTTTGGCTGTTTTGCATGACAAATTTGGATTCGTAGTGTAATGCTGTTTGAGCTAGCTCAGCAGCATCACAGATCTAGCATACCATGCTGACTGGAGCATGACAAATTGCAAAACACCACTAGAAAATGCTTCTCATGGGGCTCCGCATGAGAAACATTTTAAGCATGCAGATTTGCATGACAACTTACTATGGTGTGGGTACGTTTTTACATAGGATATCGGTACATTGCGCAGTCCATGAAGAAAACCGCAACTTCTGCCACTTCCTCCGCCGTATGCGTTGCAAAAGAATCGTACTAGTAGAAATCGCATTACAAATTCGGTCAGCATGACAAATCAAATCTGTCATGCTGTTTTACCTTCGGATGGAAATTTGTAATGCATGACTGCGATTACTACGAGTACGATACTTTTGCACAGGATACGACGCGCAGCTGCACAACAGTTTTCGGGTACCGAGAGGCTCGGTCGGCAGCAGGTCCGCTTCGTCCTTCGTCACCATCGAAGGGACTACTGCAGCGTATCAAATGTAAAAATGTCTGGGTCTGGAAGAGTCATGCTGTTTCTGCATGACGCAGGAGGTCTGGCATGGAAGCTCTAGCATCACAGGTTTCGAGAAGCTTCCGCGATGCCGATTCCGCATGACAAATCCCCCATTTTGGTGACAGAAAGTGAGCAGCTTTTGCTGCCCATGCATCAGAGATTTTTGTGTGTTCTGAAATGCGCATCACAAGTTACATCCTTCCAGACCCAGACATTTTTACATTTGATACAAGGGGGGAAGATACAACAACGCTCGAGGCCGTCGTGCAAAAAGAGGCGAGCCCGGTACCGGAAACTCCACTAGAGGACGGGGTGGAGTCCGCAGAAGACACTGCCGCCGCGGGAGCAACTGGGTCCTCGAAGCCCAAGCACCTGGTGAAGACGAAAACCTCCAATCTCAGGGGTGCGGCGGCCGCGTCCACTGCGGCAATGGAACAGTAGGCGTCACAGCAGTGGCGTTTTTTGCCAAGTAGTTGGTGAGTTCTTGTTCTGACAAGTAGTTGACTTCTCAACAAAAAATTAAAAACGACTTTGAAACTATACCTGATTCTGTTCGCGATGAATGTGTACAATCTTGTTCGACTTGCTTAAGCGAAGTGCAAATTCGTGCAATGTACCAAAGGACGCTGTGAAATTTTGAAACTAGTTTCTGGACCACTGAAAATGGAAAAAACTGTATTCGACTCTACAATTTGTGTCCGTCGAAGATATTCGAAGAATCAAGAATATTTCGTGCTTGTACAAAATGCTCTAAAAACGAAAATTTTTGATTTTGGCTCTACAAACCCTAGAATCTCTCCGGGGGAGGCAACGAACTACACTGGCTGCCAAGATGAAGCCAGACCTTCGTCCTTTTGAGATGTTCATGAAGCAAAACAAGAAACAGAAAGGAAAGTCAGATCGACCCGTACTATCTAAAGAAAAATATGTGAGAATTCCTCGTTCGAAATTTTTTCCTCGACTCGTTCGCACGATGAACTACGTTCGATTTTGGATCACACCGATAGAATGTAGCACAGTACAACGAACTACAACGCACAGGAGTGACTCACTTATTTGTGACAACGTATACGAATTATACTAACTTGCACCACCAAGCAATTAATTATTTCCAAATCTGAACAGGAGCAAGAAAGCCCTGGTGGCTCACCTCAGTTTTTTCCCATTAGTTTTTCTGTTAGGAACCCAATACATTCTGGCGCTTCTTCGATTTCGAACATCAGAAGTATGACTGTCGCTTCTACCATGACTCCGCAAAGAATCTGTAGGGATAAAAGTAGGAGATTTATTACTTCGGCAAGAGCATTTATTTCGATAGAAGACCAGAAGTGCTGTTGCAGTGACAGATCAGGATCAGGAAAAATAACTCCGATACAACCGAAGGATTTGAGAACAAGTCAGCGCTAGCTACAGGTATAAAAAAAGATGACCGAAAGGCGCGAGCGCGATTCCTCCGGCGATTCCTCCCTTTCTCGCCAAGTGCGTAGACATCACGACAAGAAGCGTCGCGCCGCTCGTGAGAAGGACGAGGAGGAGGATGACAATAAACACAAACAACGTCCTCGCGCAAGGGGACAAAAGCGAGGCGACAGCCGCAGGGACGATATTACTAGCGACGGCGATCATAGACGGAGGAAGCAGGAGCATAGCCAAAGACGCAAGCGTAGTAGAAGTCCTCGGTCTACTGGGTCCACCTCTCGGTCGCGCGACCGCCCAGCGAAGGCAATCAAGCCGAACAAGCGAAAGAACGACCGACGTGGGGAGGAAGATAAAAACAGCGAGCGTGCTGACCGACGCGAACGAAGACGGGGTACGACCAGCCGTAGCCGTGGCGGCGATAGAAGAACACCTGCGCGCAGTCGGAGTAGAGAAGTAGACAGACGTGCTGCTGGCAAGAGGAACGGCAAGCGAGGAGACTCGCGGGGAGGTCGTTCTTCCCGTGCACGCGGCGAGGACGGCCGACGAAATAAGGATCGGACCAGCAGGGAGCGGGGGCGCGATCGCGACCGGAGGGGAAATCAGCTACAGCGAGATGGCAAGAAGGAGGACTCGCGCGAGGCTGGTCCTCGGGAGAGCAAGAACAGACCGGCGTACGAGCTGGAGCCCGAAAATTTTGAGGAACACCTGAAACGCCGACTACGACGAGAAAAGGAAAAGGAGAATGATGCGGCGGACAGCAAGATCTCCCCATCGGCTGAAAAGGTGTGCTGAGTTGTTCTTGCAAAAACAGATCTAGATAGAGTACAGCTGCAGCTGCCCAGATAAAAAATCAAAAATTTTGATTCGGCACGAACACAGGATCGATCGCACGGCCAGAAAATGCAGCTGCCACGACCTTGAGCGCCGTAGCTGTTATTTTAATTGGATTTACTTGTATCAAGGAAAAAAATCATCATTCTGCCGCCCTAAATCTTTTACCTCCATATGAATTCTCTGTGCTTTCGGATAACTCTCCCCAGGCAGCAGCGGCGCAGCAACTCGCGCACGTGAGCGCCGTCGCGAACTTCGCCGCAGCGCAGGCGGTGCAGGCGCAGCAAGCCCAGCAGGCGGCCTTGGCCTTCCAGTACGCGAACGACAAAGGGGCACAGCTTGCCAAGCAGAAGATGATGAGCGTGCAGAACGTCTTTGGACACATGTCGGAAGAGGAAGACAACTTGGAAGACACCAAACACGTCAATATATCCAAGAATCAGGTACTGATCATGTAAGTAGTCTTCCCTTCAAACAAGACTTCTAGAAAATTCAGTGAAGACCTGCGATGGCGGGAGGGGCCTGCTGTTTACTATTCGGCCGTCGATGAACCGGAGCAGCAGATACCAGTAGTAGATACCAGCGGAAGTAAAGTCCAGAAAAGCAAACCAGAACTTTTCGACTCCAAAGTTGTCTTCCCGCAGATTATGCAGAATGTTTCACAATGCGAGCTGCCCCGTATCATAAGCAACGAAAAAAAGTAGTCACCCGACGCTCGTGTAAAACGAGAACGCGGATCGCGCTTCATCAGCTTTCATCACGAAATAAAAAAGCCGATATCATGCAGCTCTGTATCGAGTCTCGACGAGCGAGCTGCTGCTTGCTTCATTCGACCGTTAATATGAAAATGAATAGAAGTAAATAAAATCATGAAGAATAAGAGTATCACTCTGCAAATAGAATCAATGCCACTTTTTGGGAACAAGATAGTAAAAATGCCTGTACCTCTTGCGTTAACCACGTCACGTATTCTGGAGAAAAGATGAACGTCTCATGCTCGCCCACCTCATTCCAAATGTTATAAATTCTTACACTGACACAACTCAATAGGGAGTGAACACGAAGCTATCGACGGGGCCACACACATTTGTCCAGAGCAGCGTGAAGCAAATGTTCCTGAGGTTCCATATTTTCCTTTGATGAATGGTTGATGACAGCATGATGATGTGTATCTAACTCACCATACTGATGAATTTTTGTCGATAAAAAAGTTTCTCTTGCTGGAAGAGATTGTGATTTTTTTTGAGGGATTTTTTTCGATCTAGTGTCTTAAGTACTTTAGTACCATCAACCAGAGCAGTAGGTAGACCTACTATATTCATTTTCGCAAAATGAGTCGTTCGTTTGTATGATGAACTACGCAGTTTGTTGCGTTTAGTTGTTTCGTGTGCAGCCACCGCCCGAAAATTTATTTCACTTCTGATTTGATTTGAATGGATCTGGACACAGAGAGGGTTTGGAAAAAACCCGGGAGCGCGTGGAGAAGACGGCGATGTCTGCGCTAGACGGTGGCTCTTGCATTTTGTCGAACGCGGCGAAGCAAGACTCGGTCGTGGTGCCCGAACCCGCTGCACTGTGCCAACTGGCGACCGCGAACCGGAACCAGAAGCTAACCCTGAACTTCAACGCGTTTGGAGTGAAACCACGAAAGAGCGAGGGCGGAGACGACGTTTCCGGGGGCACGAACCTCTCCAGCGAGAGCACGGCGAGCCGTAGCGGTAAAATAAACGCATTCCTGCCCGAGGAGGAGGAGGAGGACGACAGGAACAACGGCAGGATGACAAGAAGGCGGGAGAAGTTCTGCTGCCTCCTTTGTAGACGAAAATTCCCGTGCCGCGAGGCCCTGGAGAGACACGAACTCTTCTCAGATTTACACAAAGCAAACCTCGAGAAACAGCTGCTCGGTGTGTGAGGGAAGATGTGACATTACAACCGCGACATCATGAAGAAAACGATTTTTCAGCGACAAAAACTTGAAAAAGAAACAAATCTAGACCTGCTAGTTGTAGTTGTAAAGATGTGGCCGAGTTTCCACGCGAGGCTGTTCTTCTGGTGTAGTACATTTTCTCCAAGGCACCAGTTACTGGTTGGTGTTGTCAAAGCTGGCAAACGCAAAGTGATTCGAAGATCTTTACTCAAAACGGCTCAACATCGGTCGCTGCTGAGACAATTCTGAGCGTGTCTACTCGCCGGCCACAGTCGGTCAAATCGCTTGTGTCTATCTTTTCTGAATTTCCTTGCGTAATCTTCAAATGTAAATGAAGTAATATGGGGGGGGCGAGGGCGGTGGCAGTGCAAGAACTAACAAGGGGCAAGAAAGAATTGGGTGCGGTTGGGCAGACAAAAAGTAACTTTCAACGAGGAGAATGTGAGCGAAAAAAATGGCACAAGTTTTCTTTTTGTTGTGCTTGTGTTTGTAAAGAATAAATGCGACTCTGATTTCGTTTCTTTCATGTTCCAGCATGCCGATTCAGCCTTTTCCTATTTTTTTTCTTCCTGGCTTCAATCCATCGTCACAAGAACCAACTTCGTCTATCGTCACCTTTGGAAGTTTTTATATTGCGTCTCGAGACCAATAAAGGCAAAGTAGTCAACATGTCTACCGAACGTCAGCTGGACAAAGCGTTGCTCGCCGGGAGCTCGTCTCCCTCCAGCCCCTCCGCTGCCAGACCCGCAGCTCCTAAGGAGGAAAAAGCTAGCGGAAGCGGCACGACACCAGCTTCCAGCAGCGCCGAGGCGGCCCGCAACGCGTTGGAGCAGGCCCAGTCTTTGGACGAGCGGGTGAGCAAGGCGCGCAGCAGTCTGCAGAGCATGCTGGCAGATTTGAGCAAGACAAAGGAGGGCATACAGGAGGCGCAGAAAGTGAACCGGTCAAACCGGAGCGCCAGTGTATGAGAGTGCACACCCCCCCCCTCATTTGTAATGCAAAATCCCAAATCCAGCTGATGCCTTGTGGCATGATTTGCATGACAAATACGCAGCACTATGCATTACACTCGGCGCGTAATCTATTGATACGCAGGCTGCTCTTGTGTTGGTGGTTGTATTGCTGTTCATGCCATACAAATGAGGGGGACGAAGGGGAGTTGTGCACTCTCATACAGTGCGGATTTGGACGCGAAGTGGCAGCAGTTTCAAGAGGCATTCGACGAGGCGAATCGCCGGCTCATCGGCGCGATCGCGCAGGGGCTGCAAAGTGAGAACATCGTGCCGGGGCAGGGGCGCATCATGCCTAGTTCGATTGTCAGTACTAATCTAGATAATTGCTGCGTAACTTGTACTTTTGCTACTGGTTGTGCTAGAAGTCGTCGTCTTGGTCCAGGTAGTGATCATTCTTGTTGCAGCCCATACGGTCAATTTGGATCGTCTCGAAATCTTCATGGAGTTGGTCTGTCGTGTTCACCTGCTCATTGCATGCCGGGCTTCTCGAAGCCACCAAGGAATAATTTTCGAGTTTCCATGGACAGAATGGAATCAAAAATCTGACGCTGCCCTGCTCGAGTCCTTTCTGCAAAGCGTCTCTCTGCACGATCGAATTAGAAAAAAATAGCGGTCGTGGAACATGCTCTTCAAATATTATCAGGCCATCCAAATTGAACCCAAGTGAAAGCCCGGTATCGGTCGTCCTAATATCACTTTCGTGTTATTGTCGTCTACGTACACCCCTTTGAATCTTCTTGAAGCAGGCGTGAATTGCTACAACTGATAAAGTTAAAGATTCCTTTTGTACCGCCGTAACCAACGAGTGCGAGCATACCGAACGGTAATATTCTGATCTGATCTGATTCCTCCCTGCAATTCCTAGTATTGCAGCACTTTGGTACTACAGCTACTTGAACATACTTGGGAGATAGCTTATACTTTTGTACAACACGAATTCTCGGTTTCGTATCGGATTCTGTACCCCCTACGAATTCTCCAAACCTTTTCGACTGAAAACAAACTACGGCACATCTTCAACCATGGTGCGTCGAATTGATCCCACAAAATGAGACACAGTCATCGAGTGTGATTGTGACAGTTGGGGCGAAAAAATGTTCGATAGTTTTCTCATACTTGAAAAACCAGAGGACACCTCCTGGTATGACACGATTCCGTATCAAATGCAAAAATGTCTGGGTCTGGAAACTTGTAACGCTAACGCTGGGCGGCGTATCATGAGGAGGCTACAAGTGCTGGCTCAGCATGACAAGTTTCTGAGCTTCTTGGTGTTGCCTATTCTGCATGACAAACTGCGTTTCTGCATGACAGAAAAATGGGGGTCTTGGGTAATGTGCATGACAAATTTAGGAGTCATGTGAGACAAGCATGACAAACTTGCATTCTTCCAGACCCAGACATTTTTACATTTGATATTCCGGAGGAGGAACGCGCGGCCGTGTTTAACGACGACATATCGCTGAAGACCCTGGCCGACAAGATCCGCAAGGGGCTATGGAAGGATCTGGTCGTGTATCAAAAGGAAAATTCCCTTCTGCCCATACTAAAACGGAGATTTGTGTAGCATGATTTGTGGCCACAAATCATGTTGCCATGCTAGAAAGCAAAAGATGCGGACTGGAGTGCTCGCTTGCGTGGGAAAGAAAGCCTTGCATCTTCAGCATGACAGGATGCAACTGGAACTGGAGAGCAGTATGACAAATTGCCTGAAATTGAGGCCACAACTGTGCTTCTTGGACTTCTAGCAATACAAGTAGATTTCTGTACGCAAATCCAGCATCACAGGTGTCCTTTTCAATATGGGGAGGGGGGATTTTTTTCTCACGATATCGCGATGACGGGCGCGGGGATTTCCGTCAGCGCCGGGATTCCGGATTTTCGGAGCAAGAACGGGCTTTACGAAAAGCTGCGGCGCGAGCACGGCATGTCCCGACCCGAGTCCCTGTTTGACATCAGCTACTTTAAGCAAAACCCGGAGCCTTTCCGCGAGCGGGCCTTGGAAATGCTACCCGGGAAATTCGCGCCCACGGTCACGCACTTTTTCTTGCAGCTCCTGCTGCAGAAAGACCTGCTGCGCCGCGTGTACACGCAGAACATCGACACCCTGGAAAAGCAGGCGGGGTTGCCGGACGAAAAAGTGGTCTACGCGCACGGGTCCTTCGCCGACGTGCACTGTGTGGAGTGCGGAGCGCAGGTGTCGCTGACAAAATGGAGGGAAGATATCGAAAAGGGCATAGTGCCAAGGTAGGGATAGGATTTTGCGAATCGTCGAGAATGTTGTTGAACACGGTTGATATAATTCTTTGGGAATTTTGGCGACGAAAAAAACATCGAGCCGAACTTCTCGTTTGGAGGCACCAGTTGATGTGAGTATACATCATTTTCATTTTTTTCATTTTCATAAAATTTATCGGTACATACAGGTGTAGCGCCATCGTGAAAAAGCGAATCCGCAACCTCGAATTTGTCGCGCAGCAAACAGACGAAAACAACCCCCCGACATCTACTTCGCCCGATGCGGAGGAGGACGATAACCCCGAGGCCTTCAAGACCGTGGAGGAATCCTGCAATGGGCTGGTGAAGCCGGACATTGTCTTTTTCGGCGAAAATCTGCCCGACCGCTTTCACCAGCTGCGGAAGGCGGACTTCAAAGCTGCCGACTGCGTGCTCGTGCTCGGTACCAGCCTGCAGGTGGCGCCCTTCAACCGGCTCATCACGCACTGCGACCTGAAGACCCCCCGGGTTTTGATCAATAACGAGATGGTCGGGACCTGCAAGGACTTTGGCACCGGCGGTTTCCAGTTCGAACACGAAAAAAACTTCCGGGACCTGTTTCTATCAGGCAGCTGTGACGACGTTGTGCGCGAACTCGCTGAGGAGCTGGGCTGGGCCAAGGAGTTGGAGGACCTGCAGCGGAACTTTTCGCGGGGCGGGGACGGCTGGAAGCTCATGGTTGACAACCAACCAAAGGACGGCAGCTGACGTTTGTCCTAAAGAACATGTTGAGTAGACCTCCGATGTTGCAAATGAAATCATAGTGAAGAGGGAAATAATGCTGCTGATGATTACTACAACAGGTCCAGGTGTAGTATGCGAGTACTAGCATTTGAAACGTCGGGGTTACCGATCATGAACACTAAAATGTACACGAATGAACATTGACACAACCTCGCAACAGCTTTAGAATTTGAGGCGGGCTCTATGTCTCGAGGTCGGCGTTCATTTTTGTGGGGGCTCGACCTGGGCGAGAGCGTTCCTTTCATTTTTTCTTAGAAGTGCTTGGCGTTCTTCGCTTACACTTCAGTCTGCTCGACGTCACCCGCGTGTCTTGTTTCCCAAGAAGTTTTTTTTCGTTTTAGGGCGGAAAAATCGGCAAATAGCATCATTTTTGTGAGCGCGCATTTTGGGGGGGCAAAAAAATTATGGCTGTTGGGGGTGTCGCTACTGCTTTTTTCCTGTTGGCCATTTAGATGCTGGCGCCACTCTTCGTTGCCACGGTCCGCCATCCGGCCCCCCCCTTTTTGAAATAAAACCACAGCACTTTGTTGCAGTTGCACAGGCCTGCGGCCCTCTGGCGCGGGAAGCCGCGCCCCCTCTCCCACATCCAGTTCCGGACGCGCCCAGATATCTTCTCATCTTCCCTCTCCGGCCGGATATTGAGAAGGCGGACGCGCCAGCAGTCAAGTGCTTCCGGGGGGGGTGCCGAAGGGGGGGTGTAAGGGGGTCCGCTTGGGCTGCCTCTGGGCTACCATTTTGGGGCACGCAAAATCGGCAGTTTTCAATGGGGATTAGGGGGTCGGCATAGGCTACCGAAAGGGTACCCGGAAGGGGTACCCGGGAGGGTTGTCCGGGAGGGGCAAAAATGCAACCCCCTGACCACCCCCCCCTGGCCGGGCCTCCTTTTCTGGGCGAAGGGCCTCGTCAAGCCCCGGTCACGGAGGCGGCCCGGCCACTTTTCGAAGAGCGGGCCCACGACAAAGCGTCCGGCCATCTGAACGACAAGGCACAGAACGAAGGCGCTGTGGCCTGCTTCTGGTCCTGGTGTTGCGGCATTTCCAAAGCTCAGCCATCATGTTTCCGGTGGAACAGATGAAGTGACACGCGAGGCGAGTCGGCTTCCAAGATGTTGCGCCCCCAACAAAAAAAATCTTTTACCCCCCCAAAAAGTGCGCTGGCAAAAGTGATGCTATTTGCCGATTTTTCCGCCCTAATCGTTTCCGATCTTGATAGATGGTATCAAAGACGATCTGCTTTCCCAAGAAGCTCTGAGATGATAGTGCGCAAGAATATTGACAATGACAATCTGCTTCTGCAAGAGGAATTCTTGGTGATACTTGGATCCTAGGGAAGGAGAAGATGGCACTTCCGTGGAGTTTTGTGTTGCGAATTTTTGGGTTTCTTCTCCCCCCTCGTGCATCACTTCTTTTTGTTTCAACCATATACATTTTGGCCCCTGCGGCCAGAAGCGCACGAAGCACTACCCGAAAGAACTCGCATGAGACTCGCGAAGAGCCCTCATCCAGTGAGGACGACCCTTTGTGGGTTGCGTATCGGAAGATAATAGACGGCACGCGGGGAATTGGAATTCATGGAGCGACGCCTGGTCGCAGTCCGGCAGCTATAGCCGCGGCACGAGACCAGTTCTGGAATGCCTACGTCGGTCGCCGGGACGGAAACCGAAACCCAAACGTCGGTGAAGATGTTGATAGTGGAGACATCGTTAGTCCACCCAGTGAAGGTTCGCAAAATTGCTTCAACTCATTTGCAAGAACGGACGATCCAAACCGCGACACTTCTTCTTTTTGTCAGTCACCGAGTCTTCTGCTACAGCGACAGCGTGTGCATACGGACTTGTTGCGCGTGAAGCAAAGTCTCCTGTTGCCGACTTCTTCCCCGTCATCATCTCCGAACGCGGCCTCTTCAAGAACTCTCGTCCCTAGTATCCGGCAGAGATCCCTCGCAGGGTCAACAAGAGCGCACGCGTCTGCTGCAACGACGGGAGACGAGACGGAGACGTCTGCGGTGTGGATACGGACCCATGAAAAGGAAATACTTCAAAATGCAAACTCTTTTTGTAGCGCGATCTGGCCTCCTAAGTACGACAATGCTGCGGCAGGAAAAGAACAACGTTCGTCACAGTCACACGCGGCTGTAGTTCCAGACGGTGAGTATAATCCCCAGCCAACGTCGTCGCAAGGATTATTCCATTTGCCACGCAGTGAACACGAGCAGTCGGCGCGGTCTACACAGGCCACCGCGGCAGAGCTCTTGTTTTTGTCTGCAGAAGCACTTGACAAACTAACTCAGGCGCGGGCACGCCGGTTTCGAAAACGCACGCTGTGGCGCAGACCGCACCTTCTTGCGAGGAATGTGTCTGCCGTGGCGGAAGTTCTGTCAGCGCCTGTACGGTGGAAAACGAATCAAACAGTGAAGGAGCCTGGTGTAGTAGCGTTGCAATCGGATCATGATCCTACGGCATCTTCAAAATCACCGCCAAAAAGTACTAGCTCCGCCGGACAATTACAGAAGTTTCTAGAACGCTCACACCTCGCGCTCGAGCTTCACGCGCGCCTCGCCCACGCGGGTCGTCGAGCCAGTGCGGACCGACTACATGAGGGACGGCACCCGCTGGTGAGTAAGCCCGAGCGCCGGGCGCGCGTGAGACAACTGGAGTACTTGGCGCGCCTCGTGACCGGAAAATATCGCGACCGACTAGCCACAGACTGTCTTTGGAACCTGTTCTTGGACCATTCGAATTACGACTACCTCGTGCTGCTCGCCACCGGGAGCCGCGTTCCGCACGTGTCCCGGGAGTTGTTGCTGGCGCAGGGGGCTCCTGGTCCACCTGCGGACCACGGTCTCGCTGTGTTACTAGGAGACGGCACAACAACATCTACTTCACGCACCAGCCCCGCCCTCCAAATCTCTCCGGGAAAGACGCAAGCGAAGTTTTATGTGCACAAAAACGTGCTTGGCCCCGCAGAGGACGAGGAATTCGACTATGTGACGGCGGCTGCGCAGGTGAATGTCTACACGGCGGATGTGTACTTTCATCGGTTCCTCGTGAACAATAAATTTGGAACGACGGTGTCGGACCCGGCGGAAGCAGACTACTACTTTCTCCCCTTCTACGACGTGCATCGCGAACTCTTGCATACAGCACAACAAGTGAAAGACGTGCGGGCTGCGGTGTCTCGGCGCTGGGCGAGGCCGAAGCGACCTTCCGTTTTCGCGCTGTATTCCGCGGTAAGAGAGTTCCTGACACGCGTCCGGCTGCGCGGAGTCGAGCTGTTGGGCGAAGTTCGATCTGGGTCTGCGAACAAACTACCGGACGGAGAAATAAAGCGCGTTGAGAACAAAGGCAAGAATACTGCTATCGTCCATGTTTTCGACCGTCTCTACACAATTCCAACCTTCGCGGAAAAACTGAACCTCATCGCAAACCAAATCCTTCGGGCGCGGCCACGGTCGCAGGAGGTCTTCGTTGAACAGTCGAGGAACTCCACGGGGCGGACATCAAGACAGAACCGTCCCGGTCCCCACAGGACCACGAGCAAAATGAAGGCTCGTCCACGCACGACAACGCGTCTCGAATGCGCCAAAGCTACCTGGCACGCCGCGGTTTTTCGCCCTGCGAGGCCGGTATCGATTCCCGGCGGTCACGCCGGTGGAACTACAGAGTTTGACCTCCCGGTCAACTATGCCGGCGCCCTCGCGGAGTTTTTGGATCGCGCGGAGAACTTTGCGATCGACGTGCACAGTCGGTTCAGCGGACTGCAAATGGAAAAAGCGTTCCGACGGCGCGGGAAGACCGAGAAAATTTTCACGGAACTAAACAAAACGGTGGTGGTGTTCTCGTCCAGTGCGTGGACCGCGTTATTTGGGGATCCGCGGCTGAAAGGGTACTCCTGGCTGTCGGACGCAACTATTTTGGCCGTGGAGAGCAGACCGGTGCTGCAAGCGGCGAGGGTGGAAACCGTGCAGATTATCGAAAGCGCGGCACAGTATCTGCTGGAAAGGGTCGAAGGAGACGAAACGAAAATGGAAGCTGCTACTGTGCCCCCGCAAGTCGATGATGTACTTGTACCTTCAAGAACTCTTCGTAGCAGTTTGGATAACACCAAGCCAGGGCTTGTCAAAGCAGACGCAGCAGAGCAGCTGCCGCCGACGGAAACGAATACCACCGTTTCACTGGCACCACAGAGCTTCTTTGACTACCTGTCTCATTGCGAGACTGACTTGTGCTACGACCGTCGCACCGGGGACGAGGGGAAGGCGAATAGAAGGGATGAAGAAATTATAAGCGTTGGTGTTGAACAAGATGTTCTTGCAAGCAAGCAGGAGAAAAAACCAAAACCAAAAACTCCTCTATCCGCTGGTTCAACGATCATTGTCCCGTCGGTCGTCGACAATAACCGGGCGAATGCGTACTTGAAGCACCGCAACTACGTTTGGCCCAATCGGACGCAGCTTGTCTGCTGGCACGGGCAGCGCGCACGCACCGGGAGACACGGTTGGCAACTCGGTGACAGAGTCAACAACGCGTACGTTTCCGTGAACGAAACGACGAGGTCTGAGCTGGTGGAAGAACTGCAGTTCAAGACTGCAAAATGGGATAACTACGTAGCCACAGTCAAGAAAACACGCCGAAAAGTAGAACGAAACCGCGAGAAACTGATGAATTCGAGGACACCAGCAACCTCTCCCAGCACATCTTCAAGAGCGGCTCTGACGCCAACTGCGGCTACTTCCGCGCTGGCGTATGAGGGAGTGACCATGCAGCACGCGGCGCTTCACGCCTCGACCAGCGGGAGCGGCGGTCTGCATGTCGGACAGCCGATGGGAACGAGGATTCATCAAAAGATCCTCGGGGACACGTGCAAGTACTGCCTGGTGCCGCGCGGTCTCGCGGCATACACCGGGCGTCTGTATGAAACGTTCTTTTCCGGTTGCGTACCCGTGTCGCTCAGCGACCATCTCGAGCCGCCGTTTTCAATCGGTCCAACACCCTTGCGGACGAGGGTGGGGAGACGCGAAGAAATGAAAAATGAGATGAATGATAGGAACATGCAAGGGACCACCAGCACTGTATCTTCGGTGAAAATAAACACCATTGCGTCACCCTACATAGACTGGGGTCAGGTCGCCCTCTGGTACCCCCACAACATGCGTCCTTGGAAGATTGTCGATGGGATTACCTCCCATCGACTACGTAGTGAAAACAAATTGTCTTCCACTCCAATAAATGTAGACCCAGTGAATGTGAAACAAAAGCCTCAACTACCCTCGTGGAAGGAGATGCTGATCGCCGGGGAGTATGGAATGTAAAAATGTCTGGGTCTGGAAGAATGCGCGTTCTGTCATGCAGCTTTTCCATGACCCATGAGGTCTGGAATGCAGGACCTAGCATGACAGATTCTGTGCGATCTCTCTCATGCCTATCCTGCATGAAAAACGCCCTCGCGACTTGGTCAAAACTGGACGACTTTTGGTAATCATGCAACACTGATTTTTGCATGCTCCAGATTTAGTATGACAAGTTGCATTCTTCTAGACCCAGACATTTTTACGTTTGATAGGGAGAATGCGCTCTGCAAACTCGACTGGCTCAACACTTTGGTATCCCACAGAAAAAAGCTGGCAGGTCACATTTGTATTGCAAAAATAAATACACAAGAAAATCTGTATTGCGTATCCTAAACAGCATGCTATGAGGCCGCCCATGGCAGATTTTTCTGTGTATTTATTTTTGCATTACAAAGAAATATGCCCTGCCAGCTTTTTTCTGTGGGATATTTGGGCGCACCTATTCACCAGTGCTCACCCTACAGGTCGATTGTAGATCTTTTGTCAAGAACACCAAGTAGATCGGGAGCATCATTCTCAGGAAATGAACAATGTAGCTCGCACTTGACGAGGCTGCTCTTGAGCACGGGAAATTGGAATGTAGTCAAGATTCTGGTTGAGACGGAGTGTTCCTTCTCTGGGAAGTTTAGAGTTAATATGTTGCAGTTGTGAAGGACGACGAGTATGAGCATGAGGTTCGTTTCTTCGTGGCTCCACGCGCTGGACAACCGCAAGAAAATCTGAATTTGCGACGTCGGTGGTTTGAGGTTTCGTGTCGAATAGAGATGGAGTTAGTCATCTGGTACCGAGCGCCCCCCGAAGCTATGCTTTTTGGCATCTCGTTGTTGTCGGCATCTGGTACCTACCACGTATTCGTAGGAGGAAAACGCATTAGAAGTTTCTTGGGATTTAGGTTACAACTAGAGCTTGGCAGTATGTAAAAAAAACGAGAACTTCATCTGCGTCTGCCTCCGTCCGCATATTAAGATGGCGGACTTCGAAAATGCCAACCATGTCGTGGAGGAGCAGCGAGCCGAGGCGGTTTTTGTGGCTGCCAAGGTGTCGCCAGACGACGGCAGCGAATCCGTTCCCGCCGGAGGACAAGCTTCAAATTCTCAGTCGTACAGCCAAACACAGTCGCCGTCGATGTCGCAGTCAGAATTCGGGGGAACCACCTCGCAACACGAGCCAGTGGTGTTTCTACAGGCAAATGCCGGAGCATCATCTTCGGCACAGCCCTCCCCAACTAGTCCGAACACCCTGGCAGCTGCCCGGAACTACGTGCAGGTGGGAAGCCTGCTGAGCGGTGCATCGTCGAACAAAGGAGCTACAACCAAACTGACCGCCGCAGAGATGCTAGAGCGCCAGCGGATGAACACACTGCGAACTGCGGAAGAATTGGGGTATTTACCCGGAACAAGCGGCAACAAGCCGGCTATCGGCCGCGGGTCTGGATCATCGTCTACGACAACGACAACCCGTGCGCTAGTTTCAACCAATTACGACGGAAGCACGACGAACCTCCCGATTCCGCTTGGAAATCATAGCACCGGAGCTCCTGACACGCCCGACGGAAGTTGTGTCGTCCCTACTTCGCGGCACAGCGGAAACACCAACTCAAAGCTTACCGCCGCCCAGCTGACTATCAACGCGCTACCGAAGGCGACAAAATTACTCTCGTTCGAGGAACGAATTCGGTCCGAGGAAAGTAGCAGACAGAATTCGCATTTGACAACCGCATCGCCGCAGGAACATTCATTGCATCAAAACAGTCTTGACAAATCCGTGCTCTCCGCAACTGCACAGTTCGTCAACAGCGGAAACGCACCAGCAGCCGCGGCCGCACGGTGGAGCGAGGTGGACCAGCTACGACGGGTGTCGTACCAAAGTTCTACTTCTCGGGGGAGCGTGACTTCTAATGGCGGCAGCGGTGGTGGTTTTAATGTTAGTACTACACCCGGTGTGGCGACGAGCACGAGCCAAGGAGCTGGTGTGCATTTTTCACAACAGTCCGGAACCGCCACTCCTTTGCTGTTGCGCAAGTCGGTTAAAACCCTGAACCCATATAAAATGGACATGCCAGAGAAGTTCACGTTTGATGCTGTGCTCCTCGCCGGAGAAGAGGAGGAGGCAGACGCCACAGCGAGTGCAAACGCTAGTAGCCCGGCTAATCAACAAGCCAAACGCACGAGCCAGAGCTCTGGCACGAGTGGTGGAAGTAATGCGAAAACATCCAATGTTGCCCTTGTAGCCACACCGCAAGTCAACGCCACAATCCCCGGTACGGGTGAAAGTCTGAGTCCAGACACACCGTCCGTGAGTATCGGTGTGCCACCGGAGGAGAACGTTCCCGAGAGTCCCGGCAAAACGAAACAGGACGACCTGGGGAAGAGCTACATGGATCGGCTGATGGAGGTTACAGGGTATCTGAATAGACCAGACACCAGTCCGGCGCCGCCGGAACCAGAAGTATTGGAGAAAGAACAATCTCGCCTTGAAAAAGAGGAAAAATTTGCGATGCCCTCGTCGGAGGAAGTACTGGTAAAACCGGCGGAATCCAAGAAACACTCGTCCAAGGAACAACTAGAGCCCGCTGCAGGGTCGTCCTCACCGCAGCCTGCTGCAGCGGGAGTAGAACAAAAAACTTCTTCGTCGAAATCTAGTACCCAAGCGCAAACGACCGGGACTAATACTACACCCGGTGCGCCAGCTGCGGCGTCCTCGTCCGGTAAGTCCCAAAATAAACAGAAGAGCGGGTCGTCCGGGTTTTTCGGAAGCATGTTTTCCTCTCTGGCGAACTCGTCCTGGCTTTCCTCCAGCTCGAGCTCTTCTATCGCCAGCACGGAGAAGCGCAACTACGGGAAGAAGAACAAAAAGAAAGCGATGGAGCAGCAGGAACAGGTACAAGGTGGTCCCCAGTACGCTCCGTTCAGCCCGCCTAGCAGGGAGAAGGAAAATGAAAACGTTTTAGAACTACCCGCGCACGAGAAAAGTACGAATGCAGGAGGAGGACCGCCGGCGCGGCAGAAGGACCAGAAGGACCTGCAGCAACCTTCCATCGCCGAGCAACTCGAGGAGGAAGTCGGAGGGTCGACGAAAGAGCGGACCCCGCCCACCAGCGTTCGGGATCTTGACCAACTGATCGAAGTGGAGAAGGTTTCCGAACGACAAAAAGACCCGACCAAGGAAACCGCTTTGGCTGCAACAACATCTTCCAGCGTGAAGAAAGTGGATTCAGCATCGTCTCCCTCTGCCGCGGCGGGCACCGTGGAGGTGCAGCAGGCTGCGCCGATCCATCCGCCGACAAAACTTGATCTCTTTTCAAGCCCGCACGTACTAGTGCAGCCGATTTCATCGTCCCCGAGCGCTGCAATGTCGGTTGGAAAGAGTCAGTTGACACCCGCAGGAATGACCCCAGCACTTTCTAGTAGTACCGGCGGAGGTTCTGGAACGGTGTTTAAGCCGGCCCGCACCAGCGGCGGGCCGGCGATCCCTTCGCCCAACAGCTCACTGCCTTCAGTGGAGGAGGGTCCTCCGGGAGCAAGTTCAACGTCGCAGCACGGTGTCCCATCGCCCGACACGATGCCGATGAAGTCGACTGGCGGGGATGTTTCGAACAAGAGCCAAGGCGGGACCACTGCCGCGGGACTATTACCGCCGACCATCTTGGACCTCCACAAGAACAAACCGAGCTACAACTCACCGGGCACAACGGATTTGCTGGCGCAGACGCCGAGCGGAGTGGCCGGGGCTCCTAACCTTACAACCGGGGAGCAGATGTTGTTTCCGAATAGCCCACTGTGGTCGCCGCCGATGAGTGCAGCAGCAGCAGCAAGTTCAACGGGGGTGCAGGTGCAATCTGCAGGCACAGTAAATAACATGTCGTCGCCGATGAACCATGAACCAAGTGCGACTGCTGCAGCCAAAAATTCGCTGATGAACGAACAAGACCACGTGCAGCCGTTTCTTCCGGCACAGGTCAACACTTCGTCCGCTTCAAGTCCACAATCTGCTTTTCTGGCTCCTGTTGCCGATCCTGTAGATCCAGCGGAAAAGCAGTTAATCGCGAGGCTCGTTGTTGCCGAGGATTTTGAGCCGGTCGTCGTTCTGGAGCAAGAAATTGTCCACCTGCAGTGTCCCCCTTCCTTCATGGCCATCACCTTGAAAGACGGTGCTACGAACGAGAACGTCTGGCAAAACGCGCTGCAGTTGCCCGTGCGCTTTCAAAATCTGCATCTTTACCGCATGGAGTACAAAAATGTCAACGCGCTTTCGAAGACCTCCGCTATTGGCGGAATGTACGCTCCAGGAGGTTCTCCAACCATCACCCAAGGTGACGAGTTGAATCCGGCAAAGCAAGTGCGGAACGTGCTGGAGCAAATCCTCGTGCGCTGTCCGGTGGGAAAGTTTTCTTCCGAGATGCCCAAGCTACGTATCCAGACGCGCGGCAGCAGCGGCCGGGTGGGGTTCGTGGACAAGTCGCAAGAGGGCGAGAAAACCGGCGAGGGAATTTTCGAGTACACGATTTTTTTCGAAGCAGAAGCGGTAGCGGAGGACGTCGCAGCTGTAAAGGGAACAGGAGAAGAGCACGCGGATCAGGGTTCTGCTGGTGTTGACGCGGTGGACACCGAGGTGGTGGAGTTGTTTCTGGACTGCAAGTGCTGTTTGCAAGGCGAACTCTCTGTCTGGCGGAAAGAGTAATACGTATGCGAGGAGTGGAGCTGGAGGCGGTCAAAATCACATCTGTTTACTACTCGGAAGATCTTTATTGTTTTTGTATGATTGGTCACAGAAAATGAAAACAAATCGAAGTCAGAACTTTTCAAATGAATCATGGTTGATGCTGGGTATGAGAAAACTAAGCACGGGTCAATGAATAGGGACATGCTTCTTGTTGCAGATGAACAACAACTTTGCTTTTGAATCCTTTTTAAGAGTAGATAGTCGATCTCCACGCCACTGGCGCCCAGTCGCGACTTGCAGCTTCCTGTGGTGGAGATCAACTTTCCCACAGTTCGGGCGCGACAGTTGTTTCTGTCCCGGATGTTAGTCATTCGAAGGAGTAGATCGTGAAGAACATCACGGGCCGATCAGGAGAAACAATAAATACCAAGTTGAGAAGATGAAGATCCATTTGCAAAGGATCAAGGAGAAAGAGAAACAAAGTCATGACTTTTCCAGATCATCGAGATGCGCAAGTTTTTTTTGTCTTTTCAATCTGCTGGCGTTTTTTGGTTTTCTCCAGCAGTTATAACGGCGAGCAATATGTTGTCGGAGCTAGTACTGTAGTTCATCGAACATTTTCGATTTTCTTTTGAGGACGTAGCGACCTTAGACCTTTGATATAATCGGCCTATCTTTCTACTTCTACATTTTCTATTCATTATGAAACGCATGAACAGCATGGCACGTACGGTGAAACTGACCGACACAGAGCGACTCATCTTCCGGGTCTTTCTCGACACATGTAAGCACTTTGAACTGAAAACGACACTCCGGGCCGCCGGGGGATGGGTCCGGGACAAGCTGTTGGATATCGCGTCGGACGACCTAGACATTGCGGTCGATGACGGCACCGGCGAGGAGTTCGCCGACAAAGTCGAAGCCTACGCAAAAGTGGTGCACGCGCAAGCCGCGGCGAATGAGGGTAACGCGCCGAGCTACGCCAACCAGCTGAAGGTAAGGGTTTTTTTGCGCGACAACTACGTGGCTGTACACGACCTCCCGAGCAACAACCGACTTGAAAAAAGTTCACACATTGTTGCACTGCCTGTGTCTACTTTATGTTTCATGCACGTCTTGCTAGATCGCATGATAGACATTCGAATGCTGCAACTTTTTGCGTAAATACAAATTTTCTATAATCAGATTTCCTCCGTCGGCAATGTCCGCAAAAACCCGGAGCAATCGAAGCACTTGGCCACCGCGTGCTTTCGCATTTGCGGCGTGTCTGTGGATATCAAATGTAAAAATGTCTGGGTCTGGAAGAATGCGCGATTTGTCATGCTGCTTTTCCATGACCCATGAGGTCTGGAATGCAGGACCTAGCATGACAGATTCTGCGAGACCGTTCTAATGCCTATCCTGCGTGAGAAACTCCCTCCCGACTTGGTCAAAACTGGACGACTTTTGGTAGTCAGGCAACGCAGATTTTTGCATGCTTCAGATTTAGCATGACAAGTTGCATTCTTCCAGACCCAGACACTTTTACTGTTGATAGTGGACGTGACGAACCTGCGGACCGAGACGTACGCCGAGGAAACCGGTCGGATTCCGGTGGTCGAGATCGGCACCCCGTCGGAGGACGCGCACCGCCGCGACTTGACGATCAACAGTCTGTTTTACAATCTACACACGGAATCTGTCGAAGATTTCACGAACAAGGGCGTCGAAGATTTAAGCAACGGCTTCATCCGCACCCCTCTGAACCCGGAAATCACCTTTCTGGACGACCCTTTGCGGGTCCTGCGCGTGGTCCGCTTCGCGTGCCGCTACGACTTCGATATGGACCCCGCGATCTTGCAAGCCATGCTGAAACCGAAAGTGCAGGCTGCGTTGGCGGACCGGCGCGTGTCGGCGGAGCGTCTGGGCACGGAGATGGAGAAAATCATGAAGCACGGGCGCTCGCCGGTGCGGGCCCTGCAGTACTTCTTGTCCACGGGCTGTCTGGAGCCGATCTTTTTGGCGAAATCCGTGCCGCTGGTGGTCGTGGATGGCGCGGAGGACAACAAGGTCCTTCTGCCGAGCATAAAACCTTCTGGTACAACAGGCGGCGACGAGTCGACGCCAACGGCCGTGAGTTCTTCCGGTCGTGCGGACGACGAGAAGCAGGCCAGCACGTCCCCACCCACGAAGAAGGCAGCGTCGCTATTGAGAGGAAAAATCCCCCCTCCCCATATTGGAAAGGCAAGTTTAGAAAAATTTGTGTTGCGGATTTGAGGTCACAAATCACATCTGTCTTGCAAGAAGACAAGGGCAGAAGCTTCCGCCCCATTATGGAAGCGATTTGTCATGCTGTTGGGTCTAAGGGGGAATCGTTTGCCATGCTGAATAGCTAGACACATGCGCCTCTACCTAGCCTGGGGGCCTGGCCGCAATGCCTCTCTGCAATACAGAGCTGATTTGTGGCCCCAAATCAGCGTCACAAATTTCCGTTTTGATATGGGGTGGGGGGATTTTTCATTTTGATAGTCGCCCGCGAGGTCCGCGTCGCGGAGCTGGAAGGACTTCGTGCCGCCGTCCAGGGTATCAACTGCAAAAATGTCTGGGTCTGGAAACCTGTGATGCTGGGTGGCGTCTCATGATGGGGCTACGAATGCTGGCTCAGCATGACAAGTTTCTGAGCTCCTAGGTGTTGCTTATTCTGCATGACAAACTGCGCCTCTGCATCACAGAAAAACGGAGCTCTTGGGTAACGTGCATGACAGATTCAAGAGTCATGCCAGACAAGCATGACAGACATGAATTCTTCCAGACCCAGACATTTTTACAGTTGATACAGGGACGTGGCCTGGAGCTTGCCAAGGCCGCACTGGTGGCAGCTCGTCGGCTACATCACAACGGATGTCGCGGAAAAGCGTTTGCAAGAAGAGGTGAAAAGAAATAAAGCATCGGTATCATCTTCATCCACTTCGAAGAGCACTAGTAACAATAATCAAATCTCCTCGGAAACTATCGCAACCGTCCGGCTTGCTGCGCTGTTGATAAGTTTCGGCAACTGCAAAACCACCGAAGGGAAGAAGCAGGTGGATGCGGTCTACGCCATGCTGTGGAAAAACTTGGTCTTGAAGAAAGCAATCAGCGAAACGGCGGCGGCCCTGGCCCGGACCGCGCTAACTGTGTTTCTACCAGAATTGGAGGCAGAAGCGGCCGAGAGGATTGATGAGAAAAACACTTCTGAGCAGGTCGCTGAAACTACGCAGCGATTTGTTCGCTTGGGTACGGCGATGCGGGAACGGAAGGAAACCTGGAAATTTTGCCTTTTCCTCGCCGAGGCGGTGCGTGTCGCAAAGTTGCGCCTCGCGGAACGGATAGAATCGACGCAAAATATTAAATCAACATCTGAAGAGCAGGAACAAGACAACAGCACCGTCGAGACATCGGCCGCGACACTGACGAAGCTGCTTGCCGCGAAGAGCGTAGGGACCGAACAGCAAGCGAAAGAGGAAACAAAGATTGAGGAACAGACGGACGCACTGCTAGAGCAGATTTACAAACACGGATTGGACGCCTGCTGGACCTGGACTCCGATGTTTCCGGGGGACAAGCTGCGAAAGGACTTCGAAGTGGGGAAGGGGCCGATCATGGGGGAGCTGATCAAAGCGCAGATCGACTGGAGACTAGAAAAGCCGGGCATTACCGAGGACGAAGTTCGGGCAAAGCTGAACGAGAAACTCGGTCGGTCGGAAGGTGGCATCTGCGGCAGCTCCAAAACTGAGCAACGATCTTGCTGCGTATAAAGCTAGATGAAAAGAAGAAGGCCGACTACACGAAAAATACAGCGACTTGACTTTGAATGACGGGCGAATGTGTTTTTTTCTTGGAAAAAAATCGCGCCGCCAAAAACAGACTGATTTCCAAGAAACAAATGGATGCTTCACCAGATCTTACGACGCTCTTTTATCCCGGTGTGCAGATTCTCTACGCACATGACGTGAATACAAAAAGATCGACCTCTACCTTGTACGTACTTGGCTATGTTCGGGCGTCGGTCGTTCAGGAGGGTCATCGAGCAGTACACGGCTGGTAAATTTTCGTAGAGTGAGTTTTCCGCAGTACTACGTCGTAGTAGAGAGAGGAGATGGAGACGGCAGTTTTTTCGCTTTGATTTTTGAGTGAGCCAGAGCATCCGGCTTTCGCGACTTTCGATTGCGTGGTGCTTATGTATTAGTACGAGTGCTGTACGTGGTCGTAGTGGTGTGGAGTACTTAAGTACCTATTATCTGGTCAGAGCTGGGGGCTAAACATGCTGCATGCTCTAGCCTGACACAGGACTACATGCTGGCCAGAGCGGCGGGCTAAAGATGGCGCTTCTTCTAGACTGACAGATGCTCAGAGTGCGGCTGGGGCTAAAGATACTTAATGCCTGTATGTTCTAGCCTGACACAAGCGCAAGGCTGGGTTTTGGGGCGTATTGGGCTACTCAAACATGGCACCTGTCCTAGCCTGACACAGGATTGAATTGTGGTCAGAGTTGGGGAATAAACATGGGGCCTGTTCTAGCGTGACACAGGACTGAATTCTGGTCAGAGTTGGGAGCTAAACATGGGGCCTGTCCTAGCGTGACACAGGATGGAATTCTGGTCAGATTTTGGGGCTAAACATGAACCCTGCCCTAGCCTGACACAGGACTGCATTCTAGCCTGGCAAAGGACTCAACTCTGGTCAGAGTTGGGACCTAAACATGGGGCCTGTCCTATCCTGACACAGGACTGAATTCTGGTCAGAGTTGGGAGCTAAACATGGGGCCTGTCCTAGCGTGTCACAGGATGGAATTCTAGTCAGATTTTGGGGCTAAACATGGGGCCTGCCCTAGCCTGACACAGGACTGCATTCTAGCCTGGCACAGGACTCAACTCTGGTCAGAGTTGGGAGCTAAACATGGGGCCTGTCCTAGCCTGACACAGGACAGAATTCTGGTCAGATTTTGGGGCTAAACACGGGGCCTGCCCTAGCCTGACACAGGACTGCGTTCTAGCCTGGCACAGGACTCAACTCTGGTCAGAGTTTGGGGATCAACATGGGGCCTGTTCTAGCGTGACACAGGACTGAATTCTGGTCAGAGTTGGGAGCTAAACATGGGGCCTGTCCTAGCCTGACACACGACTGAATTCTGGTCAGATTTGGGGGCTAAACATGGGGCCTGTCCTAGCCTGACACAGGACTGAATTCCGGGCAGAGTTGGGGGCTAAACATGGGGCCTGTCCTAGCCTGACACACGACTGAATTCTGGTCAGATTTGGGGGCTAAACATGGGGCCTGTCCTAGCCTGACACAGGACTGAATTCCGGGCAGAGTTGGGGGCTAAACATGGGGCCTGTCCTAGCCTGACACAGGACAGGATTCTGGTCAGAACTGCGGGCTGAAGATGATGTGCCAGCCTTAACCTGACACAGGCTCAGATTGCGGCTAGAGATGGGGGATAAACATGGCGCCTGCTCTAGCGTGACACAGGCTCAGATTGCGGCTAGAGATGGGGGATAAACATGGTGCCTGCTCTAGCGTGACACAGGATTGAATTCTGGTCACAGCTGCGGGCTAAGCATGGTGCCCCACTGTTCTAACCCGTCACAGGACTGTTACGGAATTCTGGTTAGAGCTGCGCGCGAAGCATGGCGCCTGTCCTAGCCTGACACAGACCAAGAGTGCGGTTAGAGCTGGGGGCAAAACGTGAGATCTGCCCGGAGTCAAGTGGGGTGGAATTCTTAAGTGCCATCGTTTTTTCATTCGAACACAAGAGGTTTCTCTCATGATGGGGACAGCGTTTGCCAATGACTCTCTGTCTGTCGCGATGTTTGGTATTTGAACAATGGCACTATTAACTAGCGTTAAGGTTGCTATGCTGGAGCCAGTTCTTGGCGCTTGCCTGCTATCCGCATAGATATCAGGAGAATTCGTAAAGAAACATATTGGCGAATTTTTCAGATTCTTGTTCTTTCTGCGACACAGCAGAAGTGGAGGAGTAGTGACCGAGCTGCAGGCTGGTGGAAGCGGGTGGCGTGGGCGGCACAAGCAGCCTCTGTTCGTAGGCACTATCACGGCTTCCGAGTTGGTGCAAGAGAAAACCGAAAGCACCGCGGCGGAGACGGAGAGAGTATCTGAAATGACCGAGAAAACACAGCTGCTGCAAACGGACACTGGTTCCGAAAAAGACGAGTGCTCTGCTTCACCCAGTAAAAAAAGCAGTGCGGAGAATAGCCATGATAAGGAAAGGGAGCAGCAGCAGGAGGGTGATACAACGGCGCCCGAATCTTCCGGAGCAGAGCAAACTGGTGACGACGTCGCTGGTATCGCTGCAGCAGATGCCGACGTAGCACCGGCTTCAGAAAAGCCGAAAGTGGTAGAAAAGCCCACTTGGCAGGACAAGCACTACGTCTTCAACAGCACGCGCTGCGAGTACGAGGTGATCACGGACGTCGTCGAGGACCTGGGGTGGAAAATCGTCAACCAGCCAAAGGACTGCTCCCTCATCTGGATCGACACCGCAGTCGGGGTTCGGGAGTCGTTTGACACGGTGCGTCCCTGGCAGCTCCTGAATCACTTTCCGGGGCTGAACGACCTGATCGCCCGGAAAAGTCGTATGTACCGCAACCTGCACAGAGTAGCCCGCGTCTTGCCGCGCGAATACACGTTTCTGCCTACCACGTACGTGTTGCCAGAGGACCGGGATTTACTGAACAACAGGGAGTTTGAGTCAAATGGCAAAACAAAGAATAACAGGTATTTTATAGTAACGTCGCGCAAGTGCATGTGCAAATGCAATAGAATAGAGTTGGGTGTTGCCCGCTTCAGAAAACACAGAAAATGTTGCAGTTTTTTGAGGTTGCTAGGAATTTCAGTGTGTTTCGCCTTTCTCTCGAGAAAAAAGCGGCAAAAAGTCAATTTTTGCCCGAAGCGCTGTGTTTAGCACAGGTATTCTGGCTACCCGGGTTTGCGCTTTTCTTACGAGACCAAGAGTCGGTCCTCTCCAAGAATACAGTCGGCAAGGGGTACCTAGCGTAAGCCAGGGCCTCCTGGCTGATAATGATCTCCGCATCGCCTCAGGCTGGCAACAGAGCAGGGAGAAGGAGGCGCTGCGTTCAGTGGAAGGACAGCCGGCTCGTTTTTACAGGGTTCAACGTTTTCGTTGGGCCAAGTTGTACAAAATAACAGCGCCAGCCCGCCGGCAAGCAGAATTGCGCGCGTGCCCGGTAGTTAGCTCAGTCGGTAGAGCGCCAGGCTCTTAACCTGGTGGTCGTGGGTTCGAGCCCCACATCGGGCGCTTTTTATCGTTTTGATCGACGCTTTCAATGAACCACCCCACCGGCGACCGATGCGACAGAAAGGTCTGCGCAAGCCGGCGCTGCGGGGGGATTCGTCGGAGTCTTACGTTCTTGGACGAAAAATTGCTCGCGTTGCTGCGCAAACGACAAATTCGAGGTGAAACACGCTGCAAAAATTCGTATAGTTGAACTACACGACTTTTTCCGTGCTGTCGTGCGGTTTTTTTGTCAATTGCGCTTAGTCTTAGTGTATGTGTGATATGCAGCGCACTTGGCGATGAAAGGAACGCCATGCCATATTGAAATACGCATATTTCTGGCACTTCTCAAAATCAAGTGTGATTTTAGTGATAAATGCCAAAAACTGCAAAAAATATTGTTTTTTGCCCGAATTGCGGTATTTAGCATACCCTATTCTGGCTACCCTGGTTTCCATTTTTCCTAGTGGTTGGATCTCCTTCGGGAGTCATCCGTTAAAATTGGAACGATACAGAGAAGATTAGCATGGCCCCTGCGCAAGGATGACACGCACAAATCGAGAAGTGTAAACAATTTTTTTTCATTTCCGATGGTATGATCGTTTTTGTTTTTTTGATTTTTTTCGAAAAAATTGCATACCGCACGGCATGGTGAACTCAAAAACGTGTTTTTCTAGGAATCACCACGGTATGAGAGGTTACGTTTAAATCTGTATCCAATCAGGAGGATATGCTGGTTGCCGCGCTAACTTGCGTTTTGGAATCGCGAGGGGAATCGGCTCTTCAATTTTGCTTGAGTTCTCAGATTTTTATGATCCTTTTTATGTTTCGACTAGAGTTCTTGCAAATCATAAACGCCTGGTACGGTGAACTCAAAAAAAAAATACTCTGCGAATCACGCCGGTATGAGTGGTTAGTTTTCAATCTCTGGCCAATCAGCAGGGTATGCTCATTCCCTTAACTCTTGCACTCACTATGGGAACAATCGGATTTTCAAATGTGGAAATTCGGTTTTCAAGTTGAGAAGATTTTTCGTTTGAAAAAATTCGACCGCGACCCAGTCGTGCCCTGCCGATTTATTTGTGCGGCAACTACTTAGTGTTGAACGTAAACTGAACTTGTCTGCGAACAACCACGCAGAACGCATACTGCTACTTATCCCAGGTACCTCATCCTGAAGCCAGACCACATGGCGAAGGGCAAGGGCGTCCAGCTTGTGAACGCGTGGGACACCGTCGCCGAAATTCTGGCGGAGAAGCAGATGCGGCACCAGCACATCGTGGTGCAGCGGTACATCTCCCACCCGATGCTGCTCGACGGGTTGAAATTCGATTTGCGCATGTACCTGCTCGTCACGCACGTGGACCCGCTCGAGATGTACCTGTTTCAGGACGGCTATGACGTTCTCAACTGTTACATTCTCAACCGTTACACGGATTTGTCATGCAAAATTGCCATCAGCCTCCACTTGATCGAGGTGCTTAGCATGACAAATTTTCGAAGGGCTAAACAGCATGATGATCTGTGGAAAATCTGTGATGCAAAGGCTGCAATATTGCCACTTTCACTGTTGCTGTCCTTGCATTACAAATCCATGTAACAGTTGAGAATGTAACGTTTGAGAACGCCATAACAGCCTCGTGCGGCTGTCGACGCAGGAATACGAGAAGCCCAACGCGGAAAACTGCAACGCGCGGTGCATTATGCATTACAAAAATATCGTACTACTACTAAGTAGTAGAAATCGCATCACAAATAATTTGCTGAGCATGAGAAATGAAATTTGTAGTGCGGATTTAACTTGAGAAGGAGATTTGTAATGCATGAATGCGATTGCCATCAGTACGAGTGGGATGCTTTTGCAATGCATATGCATGCACTTGACGAACTACGCCGTGAACAAAGACTCCGAGAACTACATCATGGACGGGGACGACGCGGGGTCGAAACGGTCCCTGCTCTGGTTCTGGCGCTACGTCGACGAGGAGTACGGGGAAAAGGCACGGAAATTACTCTGGAAAAAATGCAAGCAGCTGTGCGTGAAGCTCTTGCTCGCCGTGCAGCCCGCCTTGTCGCACGAGTACTACTGCGGGCTGCCGAAGGAAAAAACGGTGCGGACCACCAACCGCTCCAGGTGCTTCGCTCTGCTCGGGGTCGACATTCTGGTGGACAAAAATTTGAAGCCGTGGCTGCTCGAGATCAACCACTTGCCAAGCTTCGCTACGGAAACGGATCTAGATTACGACATCAAACGCAGTATTTCTGGGCTGATTTTTTCTGTGATCGTGGTTTATAAACTGAAACTTTTAGCAGGATGAAGGATAAGGAACGACTACTGCGGTTCTATAGTACTTCACAAATCCACAATCTTGTTGTTGGCAGTTTTTTACCGCGTTGTAGGAAAAAAGTCCAACCTGACCCTGCAACTGAACAGGACTGATCGAGCAGACGCTTGACCTGATTCCCATTGTTCCCTGCTCGTTGGGAAAGAAGCTGATCGGCACGGAACAGTTTGACATGCTTTGGAAGGACCGAAAGGCCGAGGCGGACGCGCGACTGGACCAGTACGAGAAAGCTTACCCTGTTTCCGACGAGCCCACGCAAGACACGCCCGCACCGAGCCCTTTGAAACTGCAACAGGAGGAGCAAGAGGTACTAGTACGAGGACACACTGTATCGTTTCGATTTTTATTAGCTTCTTCTTTTTTCTTGTTTCTCTTCCTGGTATCTTTTCCAGCAGCTATTTCTTGTTTCTGTGATGCATGTAAATGTAAAAAAATACGGTTTCGTTTGCGAATTTTTACATCAGGCCGTCGAGATGAATGCAGACGAAAACGATCGTGACGAAGATGGCAACCTGCTAAAGCAGGACGGGGAGCTGCAAGCAGACGACGACGCTCAGGAGCGAAGCAACGAGGGCGACTTGGTCTTGGTGCCGCACCCAGGTAGTAGTGGTTCCTCATCTTCCACCTCGTCAAGAACAAATGTCGAAAAAAAGCTGCCACGCTCGGTTGCCACAGGCGGAAGCTACGACGGAATCGACACGACCAACGAGGTGGCGATGGGGCCGCGTGGAGGTGGTACTAGTACCCGAAATAATTACAACGAGAGCAGCACGACGGCCGAGTTGACGGAGTCGGTCTCGACCAGCCCGACGGAAGAAACCAGTAAGGAGGACTCGTCCTCCCGACTGGACTACAGTTCCAAAACCTCCTCGTCCGCAAACGATTCCGCGACGTCCTCGTCTTCGAGCAGTTCGTCCTCGGCGCACGACAAGGACGAAGAGGAGGAATCTTCTTCTACTTCTAGTTCTTCTTCGGACGACGAACAGGCCGCGGTGAAGAACGAGATGAACAAGCAGCGAACAAATATTAACCGGGCTGAAAATGCAAATGCGAAGACGAAATTGCGCGAAGAAGAAATTGTTTGTGGGAAGAGCAGTACAAGTACTAAAAAGGAAGCTGGCGACAGGGAAACAAGTGGTTCTGCGGATAATCAGGCTGGTGTTGTTGAAAAAGCTCGTACTGGACGAGGCGAGAAAGAAGAAACGCAGCTGGACCAACCTGCAGCAGGAGCTGGTGGATCGATATCCGGCGGGGGTGCAGCTGCAGTGCCTTCTTCTAAGATTGGTCAACCTGCGCGCAATGACAACAAGCAGAGTAGACCAGGCGATGCTACTACTTCTTGTGGTTCAAGCTCTTCGTCCAAAGAATCTGCAGCTGTGATGAATAAAACTTCGGTGGCAACCGGTGTAATATTAACTGGCTCGTCCGCGTCCTCCTCTTCCTCATCGCAAAACCCGGAAGAAAGGCGCGCCGCCGAAGAGCGACGGGCCGCTGCGGCAGCGGCGAAAGAGCAACAGCAGCAGATAAAGCGACCGGCGTGGAATGCGGGCGGGGCGGCGCGACAACCTAGGCCCAAATCCGCGACGCAGCGGCGGAAGTCGAGTTTGGATCTCCGGCGCGCGGCGCAGATGGCGATGGGACAGCACCAGCAGAACAATCGCGGGAATAATTCGCCGACTGACGAGACCAAGCCCAAAGTAAAAAAAACCATCCACCAGCGCTACAGCATCATCGCGGAGACGGTGAAGGAGATATACAAAAATCAGTACGCGCGTCTCTACGAGGCAAAAAAGAAGAACGACGACGAGACCGCGGGTACGGGCTCGAGCACCTCGCATTTCGCGGACGGGCTGCGCGGCGGACCGGCGAACACGAACCGAAAGCTGTCAGCGGACCGCGACAACATGGAAGGACAGGATAATAAGCTTGAAAATAAGAGGGGGAATAAAGAACCACCGGGAACAAACGGCGGAGCACCAGGTGCTGGCCCCGAAGGGAATGAACAAGACGGCAGCAAGCCGAAAGGCCCCCGGCCGACGATACCCGACAACGCCGCGAAGCGCGCTGCGATGCGACTCAAGGAGCTGCGGGCGATGCGGAGTCAAAGGCAGCCTGTGTGGGCAGCGATTGAGCAGGACGGGCAGCCACCGACAGGCGTGACCATCGTGGAAGAGTCGCCGAACGCGGCCTTGAGCGCCGCGGTTTCGTCCAGCGACGGGGGCAGTGCGGGGACCACGCCCTTAGCGCAGGTGCTCGGAGGAGGAGGAGGACAACAACCGACAATAAATACCGCTGCCGTCAACCAAAGTGCGCAGAACCTGCTCGCAAGTCTGAATCTCGGGGGCATCGTGCAGGAGGTGGTCTCCTTCAATGGCAGCGTGAACGGCGTGCCGCCGCCAACGTGGCACAACGGCGAGACGGTCGGGCCGTTTGATGACGAGCAGATATCCTGTGCAAAAGTATCGTACCCGTACTAATTGCAAATATGCATGACAAATATCTCTCCTAGGGCAAAACAGCATTACAAGTTCCACTTTCCTTCTTGCCGAAATTTGTCATGCAATTTATACTATTGCTGCCAGTGCGATGCTTTTGCAATGCATAGCAGAACACCGCCAGCAACCCGACAAGCGCGGTGGGCTTGTTGCGACAGACACGGCAGCTTCAGCAGCAAAGAACTACTACGATAGGCAACATCGTGCCTGTGGGGAAGAAGCTCGTGTCGTCCACCCGTAACGGAATTACAACAACTACCCGTAATAACCTAGGACCGAACATCTACACGGTCGGGAGCGACGCGTTCAACGCGCTCGATGTTGCGCGAAACGCGAGTCAAAACGCGATCCACTCAGACCCAGCGAGCTCGGCCGACGAACACATTTCCAATCTGGTGAAGAAGCGAGGACAGGTTGTTTTTACTAATAATTCCGGCGCCGTGGTTGTTGACAGTGGAGCAGAAGCTGCGGATCAACAAATACCACAGTATTCTGGTGCAGAGGAATCATCCGAAATGGAGGTGCTCGGGACGAATCCCGACGTTGTGCTTTCGCATCAACAAGAACAGCAGCAGCATCCAGACACCGGCGTTGACTGTGCGGCAGCAGGTGGAATGCAGCAGCTCGATGGCAATAGCAAAGAAGAAAACTCCGCATCGATTTCTCTCGCCAGCAGTAGCTTGCAGAGCAAGTCAATCGACCCTGGGATCGTAATTAGTGACCGTCTCAACAAGCACCAGAAGAATATGGACCTACGGGACCTCGTTGGACTTTCCAACGCGCCGACGAAGAGGCCGAGCGCACCAGCTAGTTCCGGCGTCGCCGGTCCCGCCGGCATGCCGCACAGTCTGGCGACGACGAAGATTGTGAACGCGACCGCGACGCCCCACAAGATGAATTCTGTTGATTCAACATCCGTGAAAATGTTGACCACGCCCATCATGACGCACTCTGCTTCCGGGTCGGTCATCGTCCCGATTTCAGTGTCCAAAATCGAGGGCAACTTCCCCGGCGAATTCGGCACGCCGGGCGGCACAGTGTCGGCCAGCGGACAAAAGGGCAAAACGGTTGCGGAAATCATGCACACCGGCCCGACGCCGGTGAAGGACGCCATTCGCAATTTGCCACTCAGCCTGCGCTCCCTGAACGCGCGCGCACAGAAAAGGCATACCAGGGCAACACAGCCGCAACAGCAAATCATTCACCAGATGGAACTGGATCAGGTAAAGCATTGCTTTGAATGATGAACAAGTTTTGCTTTACGACCTGTACCTGTAAGAACAGTTTGACCTCGATGAGCTTGAACAGAAAAAACTGAAACGATGAAGTTTATAGCTAGAAAAATCCCACATGCCCATCAATAACAAAACCTGAACCTCAGGTCCAGCAGCAGCAGGCAGATTTTGCTGGGGATGGTTTTTCGGTCGAGAAGTTCATCTCCCAGTTGGCCCAGAAGCGGCGCCAAGAGCTCCGGTCCACGCTGCGGCGGGACGAGGCCATCAACACGCAGGGCGAAATTGTCGGGAACAGTCGGCCCCTGAGTGGGAACGGCACCAGCGGGATTATGAACGGTGCAGCTGGTGGTGGTGGGAATGGTAAATACACGAGCTCCATTCCCAGCCAAATGTTAAGATTTGACGAGTCGACCACGGTACCTAGCAATAGAAAGCGCTCAGAACGAGCCCCCGGAACGTCAAGTACGGCCACACCGCCGACGGTTTCGGCCCAGCAGAGGGATTTTTTGCAGGAAGGCAGCGTGGTCTTCACGAACTTGCAGCACGCGTCGAAGGAACATTTTCTAGACAACTACAACCACTCTGCTGGCACAACACCAGCATCGGAGATGTTGAATTTGAACCAAAAAAGCACGACCAGTAGAAACCCGACACCGACGACTGCAGGGATTCTGATCAACGCCGCGGCTGCAGCAGGTACAGTAGCGCCCGGCGATGTCGTCGCCAACTACAGCGACCAGTTGCCGACGAAGTCTGTCGTGCCTACCCTGGGCGATCATTCATCTGCTGGGATGAAGATAAACTCTTCCGCCAATGGAAACGGTTCAACAACATCAGGGCCGCCCGGTAGTACTACTATCGGCGGGAGCACTTTGTCCGCCTTACTCGCCGCGGGGATGAAGGAACACTTATCCTGTGCAAAAGTATCGTATTCGTAGTAATTGCAGTCATGCATTACAAGTTTCTTTCTTAAGGTAAATCCGCATGACAAATTTTGCTTTTCATGCTGAGGGAATTTGTAATGCATTTATACGAGTACGATACTTTTGCAATGCATAACACTACCACATCCGCAAAATGCGAAAGCCGTCGGCCGGCGAGGTGATGGCCGCGGTGAGTGCCGCGAAGAAGTCGCTGCCCTGTTTGGCGATGGAAGAGTCCTCGGTGTTGAGTCCGCCGCGGGGAACGGCGACCGGCCAGTGGAATTTTCCCGTGAACGCGACCAAGAAACGACCGGTACAGGTGAATCTGTCCGTCAAGGGTTCGCGTTTTGAAGGCGGAGATGGTAATATCTCACCACCGAAAAGGCGAATGTAGGTAGCACAAGGCAGGGAGGGAGGCGTTTGGGAGACAAGTCATTGTTCTTGTGATGTGCCTGTTAATATCCTCGTTCTCACATAAGTAGCGCTGCGTCGTCGCCATTCGTGGTGATTTTTGTGGGAACAAATGAAACCCCCACCAGTCAATCTGGTGAGTCACTACTTTTAACACTGCCATTGAGAATCAATGTCAATCATGGTGTCATTACGATGGACATTTTTACTTTCGCTGTGAGGGTATGAGTCATATCAAAAGACAGCATGAGCACCTTATTTGTAGAATGGAAAAAGAACGTCAACATCCACAAACCCAAAATTAGAATTAGTGAACGGCGTAAGAAGTAGTACTCTCAATCTGCCACTTGCAGGCGCAAACGCTATTTTTTTCCAATCTTGTTTTGTACCAGTAGAACTTCTACGTCAACGCGTGCGGAGTGCCAGTCTTTCTCTATCAGTGGGTGGTCTTTTTTCCACATCCACTGCGAGTATTAAAGGCAAGTTTTGTCAAATTTTGTTTATTGCTTTTCATATCTTCCGTAGCCCAACCGAACCAGGACCAAGCGAAGCCTTCGGGTTCGGCTAGACGTCTACGCGCTGGCCTGCCGGTCTGGTTCCATCTGGGCTTGTTCCACCGCATGGCTTCTTGGTGCTTCGGCACTCCGAAGTTGGATGATGAATTGAAACAAGACAACATAGATGTACCTTGATGAAGACGCGCGGTACGGAAAGCTGATCAGGCTGTATTGAGTAGTACACATTGTTGCAATATGAGAAGTACAAAAAGGTCACCTCCCCCGCACCGTGTTCGTGGTCACACCTCCTGGGGTTTGGAGCCAAATAATGAGGAGACAGCTGCAATCAACGAACCTCCAGCAGTCGTGTTTCTCGTGTTCGCATTGAAGATTGTGCTCGTCGTGTAGGTGACTTACCTTGCAGTAAGTGCATCCCGGTGTGTTGAAACAAATGAAAATAGCTGCCGCACTGTTGCTGTCTTCAAATATCAAAAGCTGTCAACAACAACAAGCCTCGATGGTGACGTATGAAAACTGCAACATGCCACGACACCTGGATGGATTGAAAGTTTGTGGTTTGCATCTCGTCCGGTTCTGACCTGAACAAGATTCGGAGCCGGCCCGTCCTCGCTGTTATTTCTCCGAAAGCAGTTAAGATGGAGATTGATGTAAGTAACCCTAGCTGCGCTTGATTCCTACACTCATGCTACCGTCTCTGATCCTTTAGCAATTGGTTCCAAGAAAATGGCGCAGCATTCCTTGTACTCGCCCTGCCGCGACTACTGGGATCTGGAGGAGCTAATAAGCGAGGAGGAGTTGATTCCCTGCGAAACGAATCACCCTCTGTACCATGCGGCACACCTCCTAGAAGGCGTCGGCATGGCGCAACGGACCACCGGGAGTGCGGAAGAGCTCACCTTGCCCGCGGGGACGAAGCTGAAGCTACCTTTCTGGCTCGCGCAAGCGCTCATCGGACTGACGCAGACGGACGCCGCGACGGGGCAAATCAAGGGGACAGTACAATTCGAAGCGCCGAACCAGTACTGCGACTCGCTCGTGTACAGTCTCGCGAGTGACCCGTCCAAAGTCCACCTGCGGAATTTTTCGCCCTTCTACTTCGAAATCGGGTCAAGGATGGCGTTCGTGTATAGATAGAAGCAGTGTGTTTGTGAATTGATAGATTGATATGTTTTCATCTACGTCACAAGAACTTAGTTGCGGTGGGGCATAGATAGGTTATTGGTTGCTTCGTTGATTTTTGAGGAACTAAGACTTAATGCAGCATGTTGTCGTAACTGATACAAATTAATACTTCATTTTCAGGTTCCATCGATACAACGTGCAGCTTCCCCTGGATGTGGAACGAATGGCGTGGCCGCGGCTGCGCAACCAGCTCTTCAGCGCCGCGAAAGCAAGATGGAATGCGACGATCACCATGCTCGGGCGCAAGGGCGTGGCGGAGCACGTGGATCCATTGTACGTGCAAATGCTCACGTACGTGGAGGAAAACCTGTTTTTCGGGATTCGCGAGGCAGAACTGGCCATCACTGAAATATTCAACGTGATGAAATCCGACGAGGACAGTAAGTATCAACTGTAAAAATGTCTGGGTCTGGAAGAATTCATGTTTGTCATGCTTGTCTGGCATGACTCTTACATCTGTCATGCACGTTACCTAAGAGCTCCGTTTTTCTGTGATGCAGAAGCGCAGTTTGTCATGCAGAACAGGCAACACCTAGGAGCTCAGAAACTTGTCATGCTGAGTCAGGATTTGTAGCCTCATCATGAGACGCCACCCAGCATCACAAGTTTCCAGACATCCAGGGATTTTTACTTTTGATAGCAAGAGCAAAAAAATACGGAGGATAGAGTGACGTCGAGGGTGCGAAAGTACATAGAATTACAGCTTGGGCACCTGTTAAATAAGCGGCCGCGTAAGCTCTTTGTACTTGGTGCGTATTTCGCGTCTCGGATAATTTCACGAACAGTGCAGTGCACACCCTGAAACTTTCCCCAGGGTCGCAATATTTGGCAGCTTTCGCGCCCGCCGGTCGCAAGAACAAAAGCGGGCCAGCGATCCATCGTGGGTTGGCGCAGCTTTTGTGGCAGCGCCTTTCCCGCGGATCAAACGGGCGCGCGAACGCGATCGCGTGGGCGACGCCTCTGGCACTCCGGGCCGGGTTGGGGAGGAGGTAGGAGGACGGCGGGCCAAGCCGCTCCGAGAACGCGTTCTCGAGCCGATTTGGCCGGGGGGCGCAGGCGTTCTCGAGCCGGTTTGGTCGCTCGCGGATGGGCCAGAGGTCGGAGCGGCCGAAGTCGGCCCGGAGTGGCGGTTTGGTCGGGAAGCGATGGGGCCCGGCACGCCGGGCCGGGTTGGGGACGAGGCGGGAGGGCGGCGGGTCAGTTCGGATGGGCGTCTGGCTCTGGCACTTCGGGCCGGGTTGGAGAGGGCGACCAAATCGGCGTGAGGTCGCGTTCTCGAGCCGGTTTGGTGGGGCTGCTGACCAAATCGTCCCGAGATCGCGGCCTCGAGCCGATTTGGTCGGCCGCGGGTGGACGGGTTGGAGAGGCCGATGACCAAATCGTCCCCAGATCGCGATCTCGAGCCGATTTGGTCGGCCGCGGGTGGACGGGTTGGAGAGGCCGATGGCCAAATCGTCCCAAGATCGCGGTCTCGAGCCGATTTGGTCGGCCGCGGATGGACGGGTTGGAGAGGCCGTTGTCCAAATCGTCCCGAGATCGCGATCTCGGTCCGATTTGGTCGGCCGCGGATGGACGGGTTGGAGAGGCCGATGACCAAATATTCAACGTGATGAAATCCGACGAGGACAGTAAGAGCAAAAAAATACGGAGGATAGAGTGACGAGAGTCTTTCCCAACAACTACCCACCCGGGAGTTGAGAACAGGGGACTTTAGATGTGCTGGGAGAATAGCTCCTTATGTGTGAACGTGGTGTCGCCGGAACTGTGATTGGTCGCATAGGCATGATTGTCTCTGACAAAACTGAACAACAGGTGCACCACAAGGCATACTTTTGAGTTTTAATTTCTGCGACCCGGTCCTTCTAGATGATGCCAGAGATGATCTTTGATCAACTTCGTGAATCCCACCTGCCGGCACCCTGGTGCCCCTGGCTGCATTGGTTTCGCTGCAGCTTCTCTGCTACTTTCTGAGATTTTGTTATCAAGTTGGGTGTGTCTTCGGGGTTTTGGTGCAACGTTTGTGGCTTCTAAACCCTAGGACGCAGCTTTTCTTCTTCGGGGTTTTGGTGTAAATTTTGTTGCTTCTAAACCCTAAGACGCAGCTTCTGTGCTACTTTCTCAGGGTTTTGTATAAAATTGCTTGCTTCCGCCTCCCTCTTTGCAGAACCTCGGAAGCCGTGCGCGCCCATGAGCTGCGCCCGCCGGGAGCGGGGCCGGCCCCGTTGTCGTTTTGTTGTGCGTGCCCGCGCGCGCTTTTTAGCCACGGGGGCGGGCACATGTTTGGCGCCGGCTGAGTAAGGGTGGGCGGGCGCGCAGCGTCTTAAAACGGCAGCGGTTGCGTGTTTTCGCCCGTCGCAGTGTGGCTCCTTGCATGCTCTACAGCGAACAGCCGCCGGATGGCTGTTGGGCGTGTCGCTGGGTAAAGGTGTTGCGCTTTGCATGGCCCACAACAAATTCCCTGCTGCCAACCAATCTCTGAAATCTTCAACGTGATGAAATCCGACGAGGACAGTATATGGCGTTCTCAAATGTTACATTCTCAACTGTTACATGATTTGTCATGCAAAAACACTACCACTCTTAACACGATCAAGCCTTCTCCGCATGACAACCTCTCGATGCGCTAGATAGCATTATAATCTGCTCCACACCTGTAATGCAAAAGGCGCAATGTTTTCCCTTTCACTTTGCCATTCTTGCATTACAAATTTCATGTAACAGTTGAGAATGTAACGTTTGAGAACGCCATACAGTAAAAGCAAAAAAATACGGAGGATAGAGTGACGAGGGTGCGAAAGTACATAGAATCTAAGTAGAACTACTTCATCCTGCCCCCGCGGCCGATGGCGTGGTCCTCCTGTTTCGTAAATGAACACTATGTATCCGCCATAATTGCAGTGCGGTTGCCGGTTTCCATTTCCTGCTTCATCGGTCCTCTCGTCCAGGAGCTGCTCGCATTCATTCACTTGCCCGAGGGTTGTAACTGAGTACCTTCAAGCAAATCCTGGGGGCTAAGTACGTTTTTCGGAACGACGGTCCACTTGTTTTACTGCGCAGTCTTGGCGGGAAGGAAAAGGATGACTGTTTTTGAGGTTCAGTACTGGTTTCTCTTTCTGTTACAGGGTGCTGGTGACTGAAAGTGCTACTGGAGCTGGAGTGAGGAGCAGTTTCTTGCTGCGACGTAAGACACAGGGCATCTATCGTCAATGTCCAGAGGTGTTGAGAGCTTACTTTTGTGAGGAAGAGGTAGGAGGAGGACGTAGTGCCACCACGCGTATGAGAAGAAGCTGCTACACAAAGAGCGATAAAATCCTGTGTCACTTCGGTTTTCCACCAAAGTAAATCTCTCTCCCCTCAACTTGAGCCCGCTTCACCTATCACAGGGATCTCTTTCTACTTGTCCGCGTTAGGAGGTTTCCCGACCTGACACGACCATATGCCGGCCCCGGAGGATCCGGCGGGCAAGAGCCCGCTGCCCTCCCAGAGTGGCAACGAGCGGGACATCCAGCCGCTGCTGAAAGCCGAGCGCGGTCGGGAGAAGATAAATGTTTTGGGGGTCGAAGTGGTGAACGACGACGACCTGGTATCCAAGAGAAAAAACGTTGTATGTTAGTGGAAATTTGTGATGCGCAACATGCAAGATGATTGCGTCTGTCATGCTTGGCATGCATCGTAGGGTCCACTAAAGGGCGTTTTCGAGTACTATCTGCGCATGACAGGTTTTTGCTGTCATACCAGACAACTTTGTAATGCTGTTCCTCCAAAAAAGTTACACCTACAACGTTTTTTTCTTGGATATCTGGGCGACTACGTCTGGATTTTCCCGTTGAAAACTTCGGAGGAAGCTTATTGTAAGGAAAAATCCCCCCTCCCCATATCGAAATGGTATGTTTCCGAAAATTTGTGTTGCTGATTTGAGGTCGCAAATCACATCTGTATTGCCAGAAGACAAGGGCAGAAGCTTCCGCCCCACTATGGAAGCGATCTGTCATGCTGTTGCCCCTAAAAGTGACCCGCTTGCCATGCTGAACAACTACACCTATACGCCCCTAACGTGCCTGGGGATTTGGCCGCAGTGCCTCTCTGCAATACAAACCTGATCTGTGTACACAAATCCAGCATCAGAAATTCCGTTTTGATATGGGGAGGGGGGATTTTTCCTTTCGATAAAGCTCTATTGCGGCAACAGGCGAAGCCGCAGACGAAGGCGGACCTACCGAAGTGCGACCGGGTAGCGTACGGCTGGGACGACGTGTACAAGGCCAAGGACTGTTTGAACATGGCCAAGGAGATTTTCGTAGCCCAGCGACCCAAGGCCAACGAGCACGAATTGCCAACCAGCCGGGACCGCTTGACCGTGGATTTCCAGAAAGACATGACCCGGCTGGAGTTCCACACCAAAATCATGGAGCGCGCAATGGACTTGCTCACCGGAAACAGAATCGGCCTCACAGTGAACACGACGTTAAGTACTGACAGGAGTTTTTTCATGCCATGTTCGATGGTTCTAGTACTAGATGGACAATTAGCCCGTGAAAAGCCGACTCAACCTCAAATAAAAACTTCCCAGGTGCGGATAACGATGAGCTGTTTTACTGCATCGGTACCGATCGCCGATCGGAATTGATAAAGCTGATAGCAAACTCGGAGGGATACCGGGCTGCGCTTCGCGCCAGCGCATACCCAGTAGGCACCGCTCGAGATAGCGTCGGGGAGGACGGGAAGATGCTGGTCCCACACGTCAACGACGGGCAGGGGCCCGTGCCGGTGCCGGGTTGGACGACGTATAATTGCCTGGAGTCGTTTCTTTTTTTTTGCGTTTGATGATGAATGATGAGAAGCCACACAGACTGAGTTTGTATGATAATCTAAATCAAAAAGGGCTCCGAATCATCAAAAAGGTATGAGCTGGAAAACGATGCGTACTACGAAGATTTCCGCGAGATCGACAAGCTCCGCATGATGCGACGACGAATTGGGCATTTTATCGACACCAACGCCATGGAGCGGTTCGGGGTGATGATCAAAAAGTTTGTGGCCCACAAATACAAAGACGTGGCAATGCTGGAAGACCCGGTCACGAATTTTGGGCACAGGTGGAGCTTCTGGCGGTTTCCTTCGCACCGGATCGATGAGGCCAAGGACTACTTCGGCGAGGAAATGGCCTTTTTCTTCCACTGGTTCCGCTTTTACACCGTGCAACTGGTCGTGCCAACGTTGGTGGCTTTGATTCTCTTCGCGCGACGCTTCTTCGGACTGGACATGGAAACACAAAGGTGAAGAGAGTTGCTTCGGACGTTGGATGTTTGTTTTAAATCTGGTTCGTCCGCTGGTGGGATGTCCTACAACTTTACTGAGTACTTAGCAACAAGAAAATTTCTGCATGTTGAAACACTAAAATTGCAGGATGATCCAAGACTGCTTCTGCCTCTTCATGGCGCTCTGGGCCGCGCAGTTCTGTGAAAACTACAATCGACAAGCTATCATCCAGGCGACCGTCTGGGGCACGCGAAACTACGACAACGTGGCAAGCATAAGATCCGGATATAGAGATCACGGTATGACATTTTTACGCCAAGAAACATTTATACGTTTTTGATTGGTTTGCGTATGCTATCTGTACCATAATGTACATGTAGTTGTGCACCTGCACGTCGTCCTGATCCTGATGCTGAATAAACAGACGACGCCGACCGTAAGGCGACGTGGTGGAGCGCTCTGGGTGCTTCCGTGATGAGCACCTTCCTGGCGTGCATTATCGGCGGTATTGCAGTGATCCAGTCCGTGCGCTACGTGATGGTGCACCACCCAAGCGATAACCCAATCACGGCCTTCATCATAAAAATGACGGACGACCGCGAGTTCGCGATAAAGATGGGCGCGAAACTCGGCGCGGTACTCATTACCATGCAGGTGAAGGCGCTCGACATGGCCTGGGGAAAAATAGCAGTCGTAGTCACCGAAAGGGAAAACCACAAGACAGAAAGCAGGTTAGTTTAAAGGCTTTGTGTCACTGATGTCATGGTGTGGTGGCACGTCTGTGTGTCTGTGTTGGTCGTTTAAGTACTTGTTCGCTCCTTGACGGGCACTGTAGCTGTACTCCATGAAACAAAACCTGAGGTACCAGAGCTCCCTGGTTTTCAAAGTCGTGATGGTGAAATTTTTCAACGCCATGTACCCGTTTCTCTACGTCGCGTTCGCAAAAGAGTACGTAGAAGGGTGCTCCGGGCCGGGCGGCAGCTGCATCCTAGCGTTGGAAACTTGCTTGACGACGTTCTTTCTTGTACACATGGCGGTCACGGGCGCAATGCTGATCAAGCGCATCGTGATGACGCGGCTGCTCGTGCACCAGGAAGTGAGGAAGCCGGGAGTGGACGGGGCGAACTACACCTATCTGCAAGTGCAAGCGAAGTTGGACGACTTCGTTTCTTCCGACATGCTCAACGATTACATGGAACTCACCGTGCAGTTTGCGATGGTATCTCAGATTTAGGCTTTTCTCCTTTCATTATTCATTTACCGTTCTTCGCTCCGTACGGTCCCGGAACAATTCATCTTCAGGTTCAGACTAGTAAGAAGAACAGTCACGTCTGCATCGTATAAGCGATAGCACTCACTCCCAAAAATAAATTGTCAGGTCACCTGCTTCAGTGTCGTCCTCCCGATTCTGACCATGCTCGCCCTGGCCAGCAACATGATCGAGTACCGCATAATCGCCTACCGACAGCTCCACGTCGTGCAGCGGGTCTACCCTTCCGGCGCGGAAAGCATTGGCGCGTGGCAGAGCATTTTCGCCGCCATCGCGACCATGGCCATGATCGTGAACGCGGGGCTCGGCGTGTTCGCGATGAAGCCCTTCCGGGACTGGGAAACCGAGCACAAGTTGCTGGCGTTTCTAGTTTATCAAATGCAAAAATGTCTGGGTCTGGAAACTTGTGATGCTGAATTGCGCATGATTGAAGCGCTTCCAATGGCAGCCAAGCATGACAAGTTTTTGAGACGCCTGCTGATGCCTAGCACGCATTTTTTGCGTGACAAAGAAAGCCTCTCTTTTGCTGCTCATGCAACACAGGTTTTCCAGGAATGCATTACACGCATTACAAGTTCCACTTTTCCAGACCCAGACATTTTTACATTCGATATAGTTGGGGAGCACATTCTCATCTTCAGCAAGGTGCTGGTGGAGGTGGCCATTCCGGATCTCCCAGCACAGGTAGACAAGGCGGAAGACAAGCAGGAGGCGGCTATCATCAAGATGTTCGGCGGCTTTTTCAAGCCCGTGCACATCGCGTCGGACAAGTTGCCGATGAAGACGCCGGTGATGTGCAACCCGGACGGAAACAAGAGCTTGACGGCGAAGTACACACTGTTTCACCAAACACCAGCAGGGAAGCACGCGAAAGGGAAATGAGAAGGAGGGACGTAGTTGGAAGGGGGATGAAGATGATGTCGTGGTGCCAGGAGGACGTAGAATTTTTAGTACAGAAAATTGACGATTAGGATTGTGCCGGAACAATTTGGTTGAACGTATCGGAAGAGAGGAGAGGGCAGGTTTGACTTTCCATCTGTTTTTTAAAACTTGAGAAAGATTCACTAGTGGGCAGGGAAAATTATAATCGAGAAACGAGTCCTTTTTTACGTAATTCGACGTAGCAGTGGAGCAGAGTAAGCACCACATCAAGTCGATATCGTGGATGCCAGCGTGGGCAACTTTGCAATTGTCTGTTGCTGGCTCTGCGGTGTGCTTTCGAATGTTGCCCTTCCTCGTATCGATGGGCCAAGACATTCTCATTTCTCTCGCTTTTCACATTTTCCGTAATACTGACGAATGCGTAGTTTTTCATTTCCACTTCTGCATTGGAGAAACAATGTTGGGCGTCAGCTCTTCTACAACAGACACAAACATGATTACTTGGCAGGAGTTTGAGCGTGTCGCTTGTGTGCCCATGCCACTGCAGCTAGTCGATATTCACATGCGCCGTTGAAGACGAGTGCCCGGGCAATGTATGCGGAACTTCGACCGGCTGCTTTTTTGAGCGGTGTGAAGCAGTTGCAGTGTGTTCCTTTTGGCTTTGTAAACGAAAGTCCGGCGCAGTCATCAGTGCAATCCATTGAGGCCCCTCTGTCAGTCATTCGCAGCATTTTGCCACCCGGAAAAGGCAACTCGAAGGCCGGAAAGGGTAAAGCTTCGACCAACTCGCGGAACAACTCCGCCGCCGCCCGTGCTTCGTGCGCGACCAGGACGAGTCGCGTGGCTAGTTCTTCCAGTGCTTCCGCTCGGGCGAAGTGAGGGCCTGACGCCCGGCGCCATGTTTCAGGGCCTCGCCGCCATGGAAGGCGCTCGCCCGCCGCGCGGGGATGTGCGAGCGAAGGAGCCAAGTCCGGCGCCATAGCCTCGCGCCCTGCCGCGCCCGCTTTCGCGGTGGGTTTGTGGCCTTTCAAGCTTCCGCCACGACCAGCAGCGGCTGGCGGGGTTAAGTATTTGCTTGCAATAGTTCGGCGCCACAAATCCCGCGGAGCGCGTCACGGTGTTCGGGCGCTTCGGAGAAAGAATGGCGGAGGTGGGGGAGCGCTTGGGCCGTGGCGAGTCTGGGAGGCTGTGGACGTAAAGAGGAAGCGTCACCGCGGACACGGCGACGCAGGCGGCAGCCACCGCAAAGGCGGACGCGGTGGGCCGGGTGGTGTACGCGGCGCGCATTGCCCCGCCACGCCACGGGGGGGGGCGCGCCGAGGACATCAACCCTGCGCAGACGCCGGAACTCAAGTCCCCGAACGGGTCGGCAGCTGCGGGAATATCGGACGCAAAGGACTCGCATTTTCCGACTGTTGCTCTCTTGAGTAGATACGGCGCGCGGCCGCCTGAACGGCAAGACGCCGGGCGGGAGCGCGTTGGCCCCTTGTTGTCGACCAGCGACGACTACGCCGCGGACCGGCCCGGCATACTTACAACGAACGTGGGCCCGGGCCGATTGTTTCACGGCCGCCCGGCCGACGCCGTGGCGCTGCGCAGCGGCAGGCCTCTGCGAAGAGGGGCAGCCGGCCTACTTGTTGGAGGCGATCAACTTCCTTGCGTGCCTGGTTTGGAAGCACCGGGGCCGGCCCGCGGCGGGCAAGCAAGGGGCGCCCGCCCAATTTAGTGGCACTAAACAGCCCGCGCGCGCAGCGGCTGCCCCGGCGGGCGCGATCACGCGAGCTGGCGCAGATTGCCGGGCGGTGGTTGTTGTTGGTTCCCACCCACTCCCCGTGGAGCACGTGGCGTGCGGGCCCTTCGGGCGTTGGCGCCACCCTGCTAAGCACGGAGCCCTGCGGCCCCTTCGAAGCGCCACAGGCGGAGCCGGCGCCCTGCCGCCCGATGATTTAGCGCCTGACCGGCCGGCATAGGAGGTGGTTGCCTGGATTGTCTGGGCGCAGCTTCTTGGAGATTGTGCCCATGCCAACCAAATAGGGGCTGGGTGATTTGCATTTGTTGGCGCCGTGTTGTGGGGTGACGGGAGATTGTCTGTGTTCAGGCTTAATTGGTTTTGGTCTGCCCTCTTGCGTGTTGCACACGCAGCGCGTCTCTTGGCCTGTCATTCTTCACTTACTTTAGACAGAGTCAGTTTCATCGGACTTTTTCGGCGAGTTTTTCTTTTTCTAAGAACAGCGTGAGAGAACGCACCGCCATTGATTTTGATGTCCCGCTACCGTCTCGATGTGCTGTTTGAATTAGATCCATCACATGGTCGCGCTAGCCCATCCTGCACGTTAGTGGAGCCGCCGTGCAGAGTCCTCACCTCAGCATGGCCGAGCCAGCAGTGGTTCCGGGCTCCATTGACGCACTGCACTCGTATGCGGAACTGTATCGCGATTTCACGAATGATTTTGCCGTCTCGTCTTTCAAAGTCGGCTTTGGAGCATTTGGCATTGTGTACCGGTGCCACCCGCTACCGCCAAAACAAGCACGGCCCAACATCAACGATGCAACTACACTGGCAAACAGTACTACTGCATCTTCTTCTTCACAATCCACTGCGCCCGTGTGCGTGAAGATCGTTCCAAACACGGGGAAGCGACGTCCGACCATGCTGTTTCTCGACGAGGGTCTGCAACTGAAAACCTTGAACGCGCTGCTGAAGTTGCGTGACCAGTCTGCGTTTGTGGTGAAGTACTATCGATTCAATTTGTGGGAGGAGAAACTTTTCGTTCTGATGGAGGAATGTCGCGGCCCCGACCTCCGCCAGTTGCTCTCCGCGAAGAAGAAAACCGGCAACATGCGGTCGAATTCCAAGCACTTCACCGGCAAATATTACGGGCCCGGGACGGCTGCCGCGGGAGTGATGGTCCAAACGTTGGAAAACAGCAGCTACCGCGCGGGCGGTCCTAATATCGGCCTTGCCACCAGCTCCACCCGGCCGCGCCGCACCAGTCAGGACGTCGATCAGGACGAACAATTCGAAAACGACGACGACGACGTCACAACCCCCGGTGGCAGCACCAGTCAGCTGAGTCAGAGTGCCAGCACGCTCAGACCGAGACCGGACAGCAGTAGTACCGGGAGTGTGATGTTGTACCAGGGGAAGATGCTGTCTGGCGAATTTTTGGAGGAAACGAAAAGGAATCCAGTGCGAAGACTCACGAACGCCGCACTGAACAAAGTCGAGAACTTCATGGCAAATCTGCTTGGCTCGCCGACAAACAAGACGAGCGGAGCGCGGCCGAGCAACCTCGGGGACATGCTGCATTTCATGCAGAATGGGCGGTTGAAGAATCATGTAAATTCTCCGGACGCCAACGACACCGACGCAGCACGTGGTCACCAAACTGGTGGATACGGGCACCGCATGGGCCTCGGGAGCTCACCTGCTCCGAGTTCCGTGTTCACCGGCGGAGGGCCGTCGTCTGCGGGCTCGCCGGTGTATTTTAGCCGGGAGGCAAGTTTGGCCGATGATATGGACAAGGACCAAGAACTCGTGCTTTCCGTGCAGGAAATGCCAGACCCGCTTGCGAAGCTTGACACTCCACCCAAGAATGGGGTGAGTAAAGGGGGTTCGCGAAACAGAAGTACCGAACCAGCAAGCGCCAATCAGCCCCAACTTGGACCAAGGGTCGCTGGCGAAGAACAAGAGCACGTCGCTTTGTTGCAGTCTCCGCCAACTACGGCGGCGGAAGACCATGGGACAGCAGTACAACTGGATCTTCCAGCTGCCGATGAACAAGAAGTCAACACTGTCGCCCCATCAAGCACGACGAGCCGCCCTCGACCGGTCCTTGATGCCTCGCTAACCGTCGGTGGCGATCAAAATACGTCCTCCAGCTCGTCGGATTACATGCAGTCATCTGCAACGGCTCTCGGCGACAGCGCGAATGACAACAGCATCCAATTCGGCCCGCGAATTATCCAGCAAGATCTGCCGGACTCGCCGCTGAACAACACTTTGGAGTTTGCGCCGCGGGCCGTAACCGCACCCAGCGGCACCACCATGCTGTCCGGGCAAAGTTCGTTCACGGCGGGCTCCGACGTCGGCCTCCATCGCGACCTGCAATCTTCCGAGTCCCTCGTTTCCCCGAGCAAGTTTGTGTCCCTGGACCGCGACTTCGACGCCGTCACGGGGGACCGGAACGCGCGCCGCCGCGGGTTTCGCAGTCTGGAGACGGCAGTGTCGGGTAGAGGCGGGCAAAATACGCTTCTAGCGGTGCAGCGCCGCGAAGATCGAAGCTTTTCGCCGACTGCTGCAGGAGGAGGTGCTGGCGCTAGTCGGCTGCAGGCTGGAGTAGACCAGCTTGCTCAAGGTGCGCAAACGACCCTCCAAGCTTCGTCGCCGGAAACCTTCAGCGCGTCGTCGAGCAGTAGCAGGAGTAAAGTGCTTGATGATGATGGTAGTAGAAATGTGCTGGGGACGAGTGGTGTTAATGGCCTGGGTGAAACAGCAACAGGACCAGGAGTAGACAACAGCGGCAACTCAACGAAGTTCACCGCGTCACCAAACACCGCTCCGCTAGCTATGCCAATGCAAACCGCGGGCGAGGTAGTCGCTGTTAGTGGGTTGCGCCGCCAGAACAATCTGCGAGGGGAGCACATGATGAAAAATGGACCAGCTGAACAGGGTATGGGCAGTGTTGCCAATGCCGGTGGTGCTTCATCGAGTCGAACGACGCCTGGTGGACCACCCGTTGTGTCGACTACAAATGGTGGAGCCGACCTCCCGGCTGCGGTATCGCGGCAAACGCCGCTCCCCCCGGAGCAGCCAGCTGCGCTACCTCCACCGAAACCAGGCTTTGGGGCGTGGAGCGACAATCCCACACTGACCTTCGATTTTCTTCGGCGGTGCATGAGCATGATGGCCAGCGCAGTGGCCGCCGTCCATGCTGCGGGCATTCTTCACCGAGATTTGAAGATCGAAAATTTTCGCTTTCGGGACCTCGACCTCAAGGAGTTGGTACTGCTGGACTTTGGTCTCTCACGACTCACCGAGGTCACCAATCATGCAACGATCAGCAAAAGCACGGCTGCGGCGGTTGCATCAGAGGAGGAAAGAACACATAACCCGGTTGCGAATGAACTGGCCTCCAAAGGTGCTGCACTCGGGAAACTGGCTTCTTCCGTCGCCGATACAGACAAAAACACGACCACTGGTGCAACACCTGTGGTCCACGTGCCTGCAAAACAGGATGGCGATCATAGAAGCCTACGAAGCATCTCTTCTGAGCCTGATAAGAGGGAACAGGCGTTTTCATCTGTGAAGCACCCAGCTGTAGTTGCAGTAGTTGCCGCAGCAGAAGCTGGCTCGGTCCCAGTTCCGTCTTCCGAGCAGCCTGCTAAAATTTGGGAAGGCAGTTCCCCAAGAAACTCTGCACCTGCCGGCGATGCATTACCGGCCGCGCCCTCCACCAGCGGTACAAGCAGCGAGGCGTCTGCACTTGGTCGTCTCTTACTTAGAACCGCACTGGGAGGTGATGCGGCTAGCATAGGAAATTGCGTCGAAAAAGAAGAAATCAACAAGACGCTCGATGTTGACAAGCAGTTTGTGCGGGCAAAGCTTCAGAGCTCGAATGACACCACTGTTCCGAAAAGTGATCGAGCAGACGCACCCACGCCGACCGACACTGGGCAAGGCCTAGTGCAGGAACAACCCGATACATCTGAAAAAGTAGCACCGGCGCAGGAAGAACAGGACGGACCTCAGTCACCAAAGCAGAGCGTAGCAGCACTGCCAGCCCGCCCCATCACCCCAGACAAGAACTTTCAGAGGCAGCGTTCTCCTGAAGATCTTCGTCACCAGAACATCAATGATAAGACTGCCGACCAGGAGCAGGGCCTGGTCGGGACGCTGTGCAATCTCGCGCCCGAGATTCTGCAGGACCGAGCGTACAGTGAGAAGAGTGACTTGTGGGCCCTGGGCACGATTTTCTACGAGCTGCTTGTTGGTGCGACCCCCTTTGACGTGGGCAGCTACGAGATGCTGGCCGACTTGCACCGGGATCCCGTGCTTTGGAACGACGACGGCACTATTGTCCTGGGTCGCACGCGCCGCGAGTCCCGCTGGTGGAAAAAGGCGGGCAGCAGTGCGCAAGAACTAGTCACAGGTCTTCTGCGGATCGAAATCGCGGAAAGGATCGCCTCTGCGAAGGCGGTTTCGGAGCACGGATTCTTTTTCGATAGCGACGAGCGTAAGGCCGCGCTGTTGGCGAGGAAAGAAAAGGGAAGTAAAGTTGAGAAGGGCAAGTTGTTGGACACATCGATCCCAGTCACAAGCAGTCCAAATGCATCAGACATCTTGTACAATTTTCCGCTGTGGAGCTCTGGCTCAGCAACAGCCCGCGGCAGCCCAGACCAGACGGATCTTAATCGTCTACATTTTTCGCTTTCGGGCTTTGGCTAAATGTAAAACTACCACGAAAGAAGTGGAATCTAGGCGGATGAAAGAAGATTTGTTGAAAACGAAATAAAGCTGTTTCTGAGTAACAGTTGCTGGCACTTGTTCATCACTTCCTCACTTTCTCTTTCCTTTTTGCGGTCAGTTGGTGGTGGTGGTTTTTGTCACATACCAATCGACAAAACATTAACATCTTCATCTAAACGACTTGAAGTACTATTCACAAATGTTTGTAGGCACGACTTACGAAACACGCAGCGTGTAGTTGCAGTTCACCCGTCATTGTCTTCGGTTCGAGTACAACGTGGTCACCTTGAAAACTCAAAATCGAACAAAAACTCGCCAATCATGTTTGCCCTACTTGTTCAGCGGTTCGTCGCTGTTTCTACTTGCGCAGTCCTCGCGTTCTCTACGCGCTTTTCCCTCGGCCTGCGGTTGCAGCCGGGCCAGCCGCAGGCTCTAGAAAAGAGCAGCGATTTCCTCGATGCGGTGGAAGATCTCCATGACGAACCCGTTCCAGAGGAGCCGAGAAGTTCCAAGATGTTGCGCGACAGTACTACAGCCAGTGGTGTCTGCAAGAGTAGTTCTTGTTCCACCATGACAACCACTTCCCCGACGAGCGCTAGTTGTTCCGATCCCCACTCTCCTGCTGGCGCGTGTACTAGCATGACCTCGATGTTGCCGCCCAACACGCCGGGAGGAGCCAGCAGTAGCGGAAGTTCTTGGACGCAAACGTACGAAATCGGCACGCCGACCCAGCGCGTGATCGATGCGACACCGCCGGTGGTCGATATGAGTTCCGATCTTGCAAAGATTTCCCCGGAGGACTGTCCGGTGTGTCCCGGCGGCATGGGTTTGTTCCACCAGATGGAGCCGCGCAAGGTCGGAGACATGCCGCCCGGAAACCAGAAGGTGTACTGCAACCACTGCGCGCTGGTGCTGAAGAAGGAGGATCCCTACATGGCAACAGGCACCACCTACTTCCACTGCCCCTACGAAGAGTGCGACTACGACGTCTGCACGGAGTGCGCGAAGATTGGGGTACTGGTCGTGTGCATACATCAACTAACCCTGCTTCTCTTTGCGTGCAAGATAAGGAGAGTTTTTGTTTTTCCATTTTTTTTTTTACTTAAATTTAGAAGTAGGGCAAAACATAATAATGAAAATTGGGTTTTCGTTTTCAAAAAAATGAAAATCGCGAAACAACCTCCCAGGTTGCCACCCGCATGCACGGCTCGCACGAAATGGCTGCCATCAACGAGGGACTGGAGAGCATGCAGCATCGTGTTGCCTCGGATTGGGTGGCTTTGGGCAATGCACTCTCGAGCATGTTCGTGTCGGAGAAGGTGCCGGACCGCGCGCGGATTCCCATGTTGAAAGCGTCCGCGGCGTCGATGAGTGCGGAGGAGTGGACGGCGGAGCAGCACCGACTCGCCGAAATGCGGAAGGCGAAGCGCGACGCCAAAAATGCAAATGGTGGGCTCGGAATGGGGAAGGAAAAAGAAGCGTAGTGGAGAGTGACGTTGGTTTTGGCTTCTCTCAGTTTCTACGCTAAAAGTACATTAGACGTTTCAGGAACGATAAAATCAGGACGAGCAGCTTCAGCAAATTTTGCAATGATATCGATCGATGCTTTTGAGAACGCTGATATCTTCTGCGTCTTTGTGCCTTACCCTAGCTTGTGATCATACATAATGTCTTGTCTGCTAAAACGAAAATACAACAATGTACTTACTTACTTGCTTATGAGACTGCGCATTGTGCTTGTCACATCACGATATACATTTTTGACGTTTTTCTGCTCGCTTCTAGAACCACAGAAACCTAGCTTTTTTGTTTCGCTATCGGTTTGTTTATCGTTTCAAGCCAAAAGTATGTCAATGCAAGAAGCAATCGTAACTGGTGCTGCCCCCTGTGAATACGTATTGCGGAAGATGGGATAAAGGAAATGCGCTTCTTTTTGCGAAGTAATGTTGTCTACAAATTGTTCAGCAAAGATGTAACAAAAAATCCGCACACAACTTGCAGGTTGTCGAATCGAATCAATGTTCAAAACGCATGACAGGACGAGTCCGTCCTTTGAAGTTCTTTGGGAGCCTTGATACAGTAACGAAACAAAGCTGAGAGGTGGCAATAGACGAGGTTGGAGTGCTGAAATAAGAGAAAAAGTTGTACTGTCTTCGACGAAAAATCATATATGGAGGATGTTTCGGCGTTCGTCGTTTTTGTTGAAGGAAAGTAACAAGAAGATGTCTACCTTGATAGATGGATCATAGCTGGTGCCGTGTCCTCGTAGATATGGACCCAACAGACTTGTAGTTTGCTATACGTACTTACTTCATTCACATCCAGTTCGGAAAAAACGATACTTCTCCGCCTCCAATACTTCTGACCCGGAACAAGGGGGATCGACTCTGCGGGTGCGGGTTGCGGGGGTGTGTCCTAGAGTGCGGTGGAACAGCATAAGGATGGAGTTGAGCGGCGGACACTCCGCTGCGTCGGTACACATAGGAACTCGCGCGGCAAGCAGCTCTACTTCGACAGCAGATCGTTACGTCGAATTCCCGTCTTTTCCACAGGATCCATTACGAATCAAGAATGAAGTCGATGGAACCTCCCAGGGCGACGAAGCGTGGTCTTCGACTGGCGGCAACGCCTCGCAAAACCCTTCCTTTTCGTCCTGTTTCCCCCGTTCCTTCGTCCAGACCCAGAGCGCAACCCTAGCGAATCTGAACAGGACAGCCGGTGTGGCACGAGGTGTTGAAAATGCGGGTGGCAGCACTGCGTGTAACAACTTGGTGGACGACGGCGCGGCAGCCGCGGTTTCGGAAAATGCGCTTCCGCTGAAGCACACCAGTAACAGTATCCTGCAAGAAATGGCAAACGAGGCCGGTCTTGACGAGGTTTCTTCAGCAACATTAGCGTGCTCCTCCTCGACGAAAAGGTCCGCGAGCAACGTCTCCTGTACGAGTTTGATCTGCAGCAGCACCGAAAAGCAATTCTACGTGAAAATGGAGCTGGCTCGGGCCAGGGACCTGTTCTCCATCCCCGAGTCCGTCCTGGGCTATTCGTTGACTGTCGAAGCCAGCGGGACGAGATTCACACACAACAGTGCGGAATCCTCAAAGGCGACGAAGCGACTGAACCCCCCCCCCCCTTTTCCTCGACGCAGGGAGGCAAAAAAAAGATGACCCGCAGTTGTTGCGCAAGACAATCGCATCTGTGCACGTGCGGGGGTATTACAACTACTTCCGATGCTCCTTCTGGGCGCTACTTCTTTTCCTTGCTGGTCATCTGTTCCACTGCCTCGACCCGCAGATGATGCAAGACTTCTACGTGGACGACGAGGGACAGTCCAATCCTGATCAGGAGCACCATGAGCAGCACGACGCCACAATCTCCACAAGAAGCCCAGTGCCGGAGGCTTTTTCGAGCAAGGTTGTGAACGGGGATACAAATCGGCAAACGGGCGCAAGCCGGGGGATGGGCTCGCTCGTGCAAAGAACGGGCACGAGCCAGGAAAGACGAAGATCGGCCACGAGGCGGAGAACGCGCACGAGGCGGGGAACGGCCGCGATCCGGCAACAAGGCCAGCCCGAGGAGGCGAAAGCGGAAAAACAAAATATCGGGATGACGTACACGGTCAAAATGTTAAAGTGGATGCTGGTTTCGGTGCCGAAATTTTTCAAGCGGCTGCTGGCGGCGTTCCGGGACCCCCCAGCTTCGGCTGCGGCATCACGAGACGCGATTCGGGAGGTTGCCGTCCGTGCCAACGGTGTCGTGGAGGACAAGGGGTTGGGCGCGCTGCTTGACGTTTCTCATAATCCCGCACTTAAGTACAGCTACAGCGGTCAGGACATCCGAAAAACCTTGGACTCGCATAGAGTTCAGATTGTGCTCCCGCCCGGCGCGGCCACCGCGCACTCGGCGCTCTTCAACGGCACATTTGCCAGCGTCCTGGATGTGCAAAGCACCCAGTCGGGGGCCGGCATGAAGAGCGTTGTCGCGACCGTGAAGAGGACCACGACCGGCGCAACTGCGCGCATTCCAGTCAAGTTTCTCCATGAATTGCCGAAGCTCGGCGAAATATTTACGCCACTTCAGCCGTTTCCCTGCGTCATGACGAACGGCAAGACCGCGCGCCTGACTTGTCACCCCGGGGGCGTGTTTCGCTGCTTGGGGTACAGGGAGATGAAGCGGAGCAAGCGGGTTTCCATTCGGTTTACGTCCTATAGCCCGTTGGTATTAGCGGACGGCAACGACGTGGATGAGCGGGACGGCCGGGGGGTTGAATTGGAAACAGAAGATGGCGGCGTGTCCGCGGCGCAGATCTACGTGTTTTCTGGAGCTTCTGCAAATGGTGTCCGTGTGTTCTCGCCGAGACTGATGCAGGGCAGCACGTTGATACAGGAAGCTTCAGGCGCGATGTTGTTTTCGCCGCGAACGGCGGAAAGAAGGAAGCGTCTTGCTCTCACGCGTCTGCCACCAGCAATAGTGGCGTCCCACCGAAATGCCTCCGAGGGCGTAGTCGACGCGTCTTACTTGGCCCTCAACACGTACATGCACGGGCCAAAAAGCGCGGACGTGGCTTCGCGAATCTTCGACGAGACGCTTCTCTACGCCGACGGTCTCAGTCGGTACATGTGGCCTGCCGCGACGGCCGCGGATCTGCGGCGGATGACGGTCGTATTGCACCCGTTCCAGCGCACGGCAGTACTTTTTCCCGTGTCCGGGCCGATGAGGTCGCTGCAGTTCGAGGTAGATTCGCTCGCGACCTTATTCGACGCCACGCAGGTGCTCAAGGTCGACCTCGCCGACGACTCGGCTTTGAGTTACGCCCTGGGAAGCTTGCACCGCTCGAGCGCTGGGTACACTACAGCAGGGCGCGACTTTGCTGTTATGATCAACCAAACGGTGCGGCTCGCTGATGCTGCCTCTACCGGCGGTTCCCGCGCAGTCGCCCTGGAAACGTTTCTCGACGGCATGCCCGCGAGCGGACTGCGAGCGGGATTCGTCGTGACCAGTTCGATCGCGGAGCATCTGGGGAAGTACGCAAAAAAGTTTGGCCACGTCGTCGCCGATGCGGATGCCTCAGGCGTGCCGGATTCGTGCCCGGCGGCAGCTTCGTTCACACAGGTTTCTTTTGGGTTTTCCTGGATAAGTACCCTGGCCGTTACTTCGGGCAATAGCCTCGTGAATGTAGTTGGTGTAATCGGCTATATTTCCTTTTTCTTTGGTATTGTTGCTTTGTTATATGTATTGTACAAGGTGTACAAACAAAATGCTACCAGCCTATGATTGGACAAAGTAACAAAATGCTACACACGGAGGCACAAGGAAACCTCCCGCCTCTAGTACCACCAAAGGTAAGGAAAGTCGTGACGTCGATCTCAGCAGGATTGCACTTACCACGGTATTCGAAAAAGCCTGAAGGTATTTGATGTCTCTCTGCAAGTTCGTGACCAACAGAATTTGAGAAAAATTAAAATCAACCTCGCCATACCGTCCGAAGATCACCTGCGACAGAAGAATGAGGAAAAGCGAAAAACTAAGAAAACAACGGAGGAGATATCATCAGAAATAGAAAGCAAGAGCGGGAGAAGTAGTTTATTTTTCGGAGATCTTCGCTTTATGATTGCTTTTGTCTTCGCACCACTCCAAACAGAAAGAGAGAACGGCAACAGCTTCGTCTGCAGAACGTCAATTTTATAGCGAGCTGCGAAGGGGGGCGGGGCGCATCACCTAAAGTTCCTAAAATCCCAGTTGCCCAATAGATAGATAGATTGATAGATTTTCTTCTTGTTTGTTTTTTTCCTCGCGAATCATCTAGCGGACTCCCTGATAGTCATTTTTTTGACATGCTTCTTTTTCCCGACCACAACCAGGCCTGGCAGGGCAGCCGCACACCCACACGCACACCTTAAACGCCGAAGTAATTAGTGAAGACGACAGCCGCTTGAGCTTGATTCTTCTAGATCTTGAGAAGTATTTTGAGGTGGTGGGAGATGTGAGGAAAGACTTAAACAGGAAAACGGGTAAAACAAGTTTCTGTGACCCCGAGTCAGTCTCAGTTCTACAACGCGTCTTTTGGTCTTTTTTGGGTGTTTTTTGGTCACCAGATTCTGGATGCAAGTTGTTGAGAAATATCTAGCCACTTACTCGCAGGAACTCAGTTAGCACGTACGCCAGTGCACAATTAATGTCCAGCCAATTTCTATTTGTCACTATAGTTAGCAAATATACTATTCAGCAGGATTTGCATATAGAAATTTGAATTGCCTTGGACTTCGCAACGTGGTGCTACAGTGCAAAATATCAATATTACTGTCCCTTTGGGGCCAAGGCCATTTCAAAGGAAACGGGGCCAGCTTTTTCAATAAAATTGTCATACAGATGATTCTGCGGATCTCGATGTCGCACCCGCTCTGCGATGATCTTTTCAGGCTGTAGTGATGTTCGAAAGTATCCGAGTCCTGTTGTCTGCTGAAAAAAAGAAAGAAATTATTTGGCGCAAAGTAAAGAAAACATCACATTTCCGACCGATGCTGGTGTTGCGAGTGTGTGACATCAGTTTCGAGTTTGCATGCTGGCGGGAAAGACAAATGCAGTTCGTGCGCGTGTAGCTCGCACTTACTTGCGCCAGCACTGCGCGAAGCTGCCCTTACATACTAGTAGTAAGCTACACGGTGATGTAGCTTGAAGAGTAGTACACCTCAGATCTTGTTCTTGAAGGAATTATTCTGTCGCACTATCATGGAGCATTTCCGCCCGAAGGATGTCGCTGAGCTGGAAAGCACGCTGAACGCTGCGCGCCCGCAGCAAATGCGCGGCCGGGTTTGGGAGTTCTTTGACGCAAAGAAGGACTGTGTCATATTTAAAAACGTCCCCACCCCAGAGCTGTCATGCAAATCTCATGCCAAAAAAAGGTGTGGTGGGTAGCTCCCGACTGGTTGGTACTTTTCTTGGGGCGACTTGCCGTGGTAGCGCCCGGCTTTTGTATGATGAGGTTGCCGAAAGTGCTTCCTCGCCCACCCCCCGGGGAGGGGGTCCTTGACCTGTGGCGCTGGGGGCGGGTGTCCACTACATGATGATGATGATTCCGGCTTATGATCCCCGTCCCCCCTCCCACCCTTTGCTTCTGTTGCAGAATAAGTCAAGTAGCTGCACTAAGACTGCCACGCACAAACTAAACCTTTAAGCTGTCGCTGTGCCCCAGGTGGGTTGCCAGTCAGCGTGACAAACAACTGGCCAATGGTTCGCTTGGCATCTCCGGTCCGCGCACTTGCCTTTTTCGTCCGTGCCGGCCGCAGGGAAGGCACAAATGGTCCAGCCCCCCCTGTCCGGGTGGGGTTGCGGCTTAAGGGAGAGTCTCGCCCCTTAGCCCAAAGGGGTGCGTCGTCTCTTCCGTGAGAGCAAATACTTATGGCGTAAAATGGGTCGGGTCCTGGATCGTTCTGTATACTGGGCTGTCGCGCTCGGCTAGCAGGCCGGGCTGTACTGATCAGGTGTGGTGGGTAGCTCCCGACTGGTTGGCACTTTTATTGGGGCGACTTGCCGTGGTAGCGCTCGGCTTTTGTATGTTGAGGTCGCCGAAAGTGCTTCCTCGCCCACCCCCCGGGGAGGGGATCCTTGACCTGTGGCGCTGGGTGCGGGTGTCCACTACATGATGATGATGATGATGATGCGACGCCCCAAAAGAGCCACTTTCCCTTCGTGTTTGGGAATTTGTGATGCTAAGATGAGCATGATATGCTACGTCTGTGATGCTTCGGAACTACTAGCTAAACAGGATTACACTACGAGAGCAAACTTGTCATGCGGAACAACCATAGCTGGTTGATTTGTCCTTTAAGATGGCCTGACTGTCATAAGGAGTTAGATCAGTTTGTAGAACCCAATCTGTTTATGCTAGCAAGAGGGCTAGTGCGCTGTGAACCCCCAGGACCAGGTAGACTCAGTCCCGACCGAAGTGGTAGGCGCTTAGGGTGAACTATGTATGTAGCGCTTAGGGCCCCTCCGTGCGGCCATATGGCCATATGTATGTCCCGCAACGGGGTTCGCGTCGGTCATTTGTATGTGAGGCGATGGGCTACCCGGTCGGCAGAGCCGATCCACACGAACGAACGAGCGAAGATTTTCCATCTTGACTCTGGTGTGGGGACATTTTTCCTCACAATAGACTGTCAGAAAACATGCCAGGAGAACGTCCAGAAAATGGGACTGGAAGAGAGGCGGCAATTGTTCGATTGCATTTTCAAAGTCAACACCAGCGTATCAAATGCAAAAATGTCTTGGTCTGGAACAAAGCAACTTGTCATGCTAAATCTGAATCATGTAAAAATCTGTGCTGCATGATTACCAAAAACTGTCCACTTTTGACCTAATCGAGCGGCAGTTTCTAATGCAGGACGATAGGCATGATAGAACTCTCACAGAATCTGTCATGCTATGTCCTCCATATCAGATCCCATTCACATGGGTCGTCATGGAAAACCTGCATGACAAGTCTAGCATTCTTCCAGACCCAGACATTTTTACAATCCATAGGCATACAGCGATCGCGGACAGATTTCCAATGAAAATACGACGTCAACATCGTCCACTTCTCCCGGAAGTGTTTCAAAAGGTAGCACCAACAGGAGCTCCTGCGTCGGCATTTTACCGCACCAAACCGACGCGGCCAAGCAGCTCTTCATGGAAAAGCAGGAGCTGTTGCGGCAGCGCTACCTGAAGTTAGAGCAACAGTGCGATTCCGTTTGCGGGAAAAAGTTTGCCTACATTCTTGCGGAGGACGGGGACGGCGGTGGTGCTGTAAACAAGAAGGGCGGCGAGACTTCGCTTGCTCATGCGAAGAATGCCGGAGCGTGAAGAAGTTCTTGAGAATAAGGGATAAATGTATGTGTTTGTGTCCTGTAATGTGACTGTTTCTTTCTTTTGCAATGCATCGATAAAACACCTCCGACGCCGGAGCGCATTGAGTTTGCTTTCGCCACACTTTTGGACTTCATTTCCAATGCGAGATAAACAGACGAGACGGCGCGTGCCTGAATTTCGTAGTGGACCTGCTAGTTGCAGAGTTTTTGGTTGCTTAATGTGACTATGTAATATCAATCTACATCTGCTGTTCACAGAACAGCACCCAAGTACTCTTTTTCTTCATCGGTTTCAGACCAAGTGCGACTTTTCGGTATCTTTTCCAGCCAAAAAGAAATTTTGATTTGTTGCAACAACAAACTATCTTTGAGGAAATTCTGCAGAGAAAAGCTAGCTTGGTCGGTGCTCAACTCGTCCTGCGCTTCGGTTGCCTCGTTCTGATTTTAAGCTAAGAGCAAGACAGTGACAGTTTCGGTGCGTAGACATTGAAGAAAGTGCTTTCGGATTTCGGTCATCGTCCGCTCGAATCTGACTCGTTATCGTACTCAATCAATCGTGCGCACTCGACATCGTGATTGTGTCGCCCCTTTGTGCCCTACCCACCTTCGTTTTCGTTATCGTTACGTACTCGAGTAAGTACTTACTTACTTGCATTCCTTCCGTATTGGCATCTAATCGCTCCAAATAACAGGACCACCTCCCTAGCTGTACCATTATTTCCAACTACATTTATTGTGTTTTGATGCTATTTCGCGCTTGCAACAAGGGCCATCATGTTGGATCAGTCCTGCAGTTGAGTACGGCGCGCTAGCGCGACGAGAAGAACCTGAGTTGACTTTCAGCCCGCTTTTCGGAAGATGGGTGCCGCTTGTTGCTGTGGCGAAGAGGAGAAGCCGACCCCCCAGGCTCCTCCACCAAAAGCTCCTTCCGAGAGGAAACCCTCCGAGAAGAAATCAAGCGTCAATGCCGGGCCACCCGGGGAGGAAACTCCAGGGGAGCCGCAGGAGAAGCCAAAGAAGGAAAGCATGGTTTTCCACTCAGAAGGTAGTACTTCTTTTTACCACTGGACATCATATAATCTTTTGCTTTAGGTTTATTATGTCGGGTCTTCGTCTTCTTAGAACTAGAAGTGTGTCAGGAGCGTACGATATTGCTGCAGCGAAAGGAGAAGTAGCTAGCTCGTTTCAGTAGAGATGCATTTGCATGCCTTGAGTTGTCATACAAAATCAAAATCATTCTCTTCTGCACTGTTTTCCCCAGGTGGCGACGACGCGGAGAAGTTTGACGCAGCCTTCCGAGGCAACAACATCGAGTCCCTCATCGCTCTGATGGACAGCAACGAGAAGATAGAAACGGACGAACAGATGCACCAGTGGGCCAAGAACCCCCGGACCATAGGCGCGCTGGCCGGAACCCAGTTGGCCATCAAGGGCGCCGTCACCGCGGAGTCGGCGACCGAACTGCAACCCTACGACCCGGAAATGAAAAACAAAATCAGAACAATGGGTACGATACTTGTTTTCAATGCTTTTCGCTCTTCTTGTGCTTGTGCGTGCTTCGTTCTTGGTCTCCGTCATCCACTTTGTAGCAAAATCTGTGGTCAAGATGGTACACTGCAGTGGGAGGTCTCTTGCGCTTACAAAAAAACCGAATCGAAAAGAATAAAAAGAAATGGATTAACAACAACATCAAAGAAACGTATTACTATGAACAACAGGTGGCATAACGAAGTTTGTGGACTTCCTGAACAGCGGGCAAGAGGACCGCATACACACCGCGGTTGTCGCTTTGTCCTTCCTGTGCATTGAAAGCCCGCTGAACGCCCAGGCTGCGTTCGACGCAGGTGCCATGACACCCCTCGTCCCCCTGATGCTCTCCCCCGTGGAAGGCTTAGCCTGTGCCGCCGCATCCATTCTGCGAAACATCATTCTCGAAGACGATATCGCGAAACAAAAGCTCTGCTCGCTCGGCGGCGTGGAGGGATTCGTATATTTTTTTTGCTTGACTGTCAATCTGAATTCCTTATCTTATCACAGCAGGCAAAATGACAATTCTTTAAACGCCCTAAATGACTTCGTCGCTTAACTTTATCAGTGTCTTTTCAAATAAACCTTCTGCTTCTCAGGTAAAACTGCTCGAGTTGCCGAAGGGGTACAAAGACCTCGGCACTGAAGACCTGCAGCGAATGCTTGACCTGAAACTGGAGGCCCTGCTCACCATCTGCGAATTCATGGAAGAGCCCACGGAGGAACGCCGGATTGTTAGAGAGTACTCTAGTTTTTCTTGATTTGTGGTTGTCGCTAGGGGAGAAATGTGTAGTGGTACAACACGTACGCTAACATCAAGCTGAAGAGCTCGACTTGTCGTTGTTATGAATTTTAATCACGTACACGACAACATGAAACCCCTGCAGGTACGCCAAATTAGTCCACGACGCCGGCGCACGAGAGAAGATAAAAGCCCTGTTTCAGTTCAACGACCGCGAGCTGGAAGACGTGGCGGACGACATTCTTCAATCAATCGAGGAGGCTGGACATTAAAACGAAACACAAGGAGGCGCGTGACCGTTCCAAAAATATTTCGCACTACGAGGAAAAGTGAAATTAAGTACTCTGCTGCCCATAGATTTAGACGAACCACCCCCGGGGGTTCTTCACTATGGACATGTTGTATCATCTGCTCGTCCACAACTCCACTGTAAATTAGCATTTGTAAGAACAATCTTTTTATATCTGTACAAGCACAACATAACGTAGGTCTTTAATGTCACTCATTCATTGTAATTGCTCTGTTCTGTACTTCTACATGACGACCACGACCCGCTTTACATGGTTTCATAGGTCTATATCCAATTGGTGAGGCCCCGCATGCACTATTGTAAAGCTTCGCACTCCTTCTGTTTTTCTGACAAAATTAGTCCGACCCTTTATTTGCGTTCACTTTGACTCTGTATCTCAATTGTTTTTTCGTACTGGCTTTTGCCGTCGTGTCACGAGCAGCTGAATCCCAATCCCAATCCCAATCGATAATGTGAATATATTTCACTGGACCCGCACCTGCTGGCTCTTTTCATCATGGTATAGTCAACGCGAGAGAACTAAATATTTTTCCAAGAAATCCTCGGAGAACCGGTAGAAGAACTGCCGATGAAGATGGAGCATGAGATTTGTTCCTCCGTTGAACCGTTGCCACCTGAGGCTGAGAAAAATTCTTTTTCAAATTTTAAAATTTGAAAGACACTGCCGGCGCCAGCAACGCGAATCCGAAAATCTGTGAGTATAATATACTCACAGATTTTCGGATTCGCGTTGTTTGGTAATATACTATATTACCAAACAACGCGCTTGGCCTCTACCTTCTCCTTGGTAGAACAAAAGCACTCATGTTTCGTGTGACAAACAATGGATCGTCAGTAGTTCAGGAGCGCTTCAGCTTTTATGACGAGTGAATAGCAGTTTTCTCCTGTATCTGTTCAGAATCACATCAAGATGATGAACCCGCGCACCGCTGCAGCACTGCTGGAGGTGAACGGCACCGCCAGCAGAGATGAGATAGCCACGGCCTACAAGCGGCTAGCCCTGAAATTTCATCCCGATAAGAACCGCGACCACGTGGAATGCACAACGGAGGCTTTCAAGCTAATCCAGGCGGCGCGCGAGGTGTTGCTGGAGGCCACAGTACCATTTTACAAACCGGAAGACAGCCCGTACGACGAGGAGCGGCAGGAGGCGGTCGAGTTGAAAAGACGCCGGGAACAAAGCGAGGAATTGCTAACCGGGGTCAGTGGCGGCCGCGCGTTTTTCCGTCGGACTCGGAGAAGGAACAGCGCAAGTGCGGAGGACGAATTTTTGGATGGCGTTGACGATCTTCCTCGCGAGTTGGGAAAGGAAGCAACTGCTGCAGGAGGTACAACTTGTAGTACTGGCCGACGCAAAAATTCAACTGGTGGGGGAAAAAAACCAGGCGACAGGTGCAGTGAATCCATAGCCGCTGCGACGTTGCAGGGATGTCGCGGCCTGTGGCGATGTCAGGTACAGATGCGTACTTAGTTGTAGCTGCGTGTTGCGATGAAAGCTGCATCGGAATGCTCATCAAGGTGAAATAAGACGACGAAGACGCGCCAGTGACCACAGGATTTAGAAGTTGAGAGAATCAAGCTAGCTTCCATGATCAAATTTTCTGCCACCGACTACTACCCAAAGGTTTGCGGCAAGGATTGCCTTGCTCTGCGAGACAACGCCGTTTGCGGTCGTTGTGGCAACCTGCTCAAGATGCACACCGGTGTGGGGCACTCGCTTTGTCACCAGGGGCAGTACTGCCCGGGGTTTCAGCTGAAAGTACGCAGTGCCCGCTGTCCCTGCGGACACGCTCCTGAGGACCACGTCTGCATCTTTTTTCGGGATCGCACCACCGGTACGGGGGCTACTTCAAATATGTTTCATTTTGCGGTACAATATGTTCCATTTTCTAAATTCGTGTGCGGTGTGCCAGTGTTGATGTTACTTATGGTTACAAGATGGGGGTCGGCCGTTTGGCCGACCCTATCTTGATGGACAGTGGGCAGCTAGAAAAAACAGCCCCAAGAAGAGGGCGACTTGACTTCGAAACATAAACCCCAGCGGCCATACGCCCCCGAGGCCCCGCCAGGGCTTGTCCCCGAGGACAGCGCGAGCGGCTTTGCGAGCGCAGGCAAGCCCCGAGACCTTCCCCAAGGCCTTTGCTCCGCCTCCCCAAGGCCTATGCCAGACTGCCTCCCTCGCGCAATGCTTTCGATTGCTTTGCATCGGCTAGCAGGCTCGGCCCACCAGGATATGGCGTTCGTAGGCCCTGCAAAGGCTTTGCGCCGCCTCGGCCACAATGTGCGTGGCAGCCGCCTCATTGGCCAGGCAGGAAGGATCTGGCCGCGGCTAGCAGGCTTCCATCCTCCGCCTAAATAAATCTAGCTGCGCCGCACAACCCCGGCCGCGATCAGTGAGCTGGGTGGCTGGCATCAGCTAGCCCGATCGTAGGCTGAGTGGCCTCGCCACCCAGAATCTTGCGCCGGCCTGCCGCCCCTGGCGCGCCCGGGCCCCGTCCAGCACCGCTAGGGCCTCGCGCCGGCCGTTTGGCAGGCTTGGCCAGGGCCTGGCGCCATCTGGCTCGGATGCTCATCAATGAACTACCGGGAACCAGCTGCCTTGCTGGGTCTCCCTTGTCAAGGCCCGGCGCCGGCCTTGCTTCGAGCGCCCAATCTGGCACCGCCCCGGCACGAATCTGGCGCGCGCGCGCGCCCTTCCGCTAGGCCGCCTTTTGGACGGGCCGGGCATATCACAACAAACGGGCCTTGGCGCCGAAAGCCCACCAAGGCCCGGGCGGCCGGCCCCTTGCTCAAGCAGGCGCGCACACAAACAACGAACTGCAGCCGCGGCCCCGAGTGAGGGCCCGGCCGGTTGACCCGCGCAGGCAGTCAACAAACGCAAAGAGAAGCGCGCCGCATGTTGCGGCAGGGCCGAGCGAGGCGTCCTGGACAGGGAACCGAGGCGGGCCCGCCCCTATTACACCGCAAGCCGTCGCGCCGGCCCCCGGCCGGCATCTTGTTTGGGGGCAGTCTGCCAGCCAGGCGAAACAGAGCGAGGCGGCCTCGCCGATGGGTGCCAAAAACTGAAGCGGCCCATAGGAACTCGCACAGCGAAAATCTGCGTCACTTGCGCTCAACTCCGGCCGCGGCCACCTATATTCCAGCGCCGTGGGCCCTTCTGGTGTGGCTCAGAGCGCTGGGAATGAAGGCGGTTGGCTTGGCCATGGACGCTCAAACCCCCTCGCAGCGCGGGCACCTGCGCCACCTTCTTGCTCCCAAGCCGGCCCGGGCGGCCGCCTACCTTCCGGCACCCGGGACAGAACTCTTCTGGTGAGTCCCAGGGCGTTGGGATGTTCGCGGCCGGTTTGGCCACGGGAACATCTGCGCCCGCGCGCGCCTTGCGCCCAAATGTGGTCCGTCGGCTACCTTCCAGCGCTTTGGGCCCTTTCGGTGTGGCTCAGGGCGTTGGAATTTAAAGAGCTGGCTCGGCCGTGGAAGCTCGCAGGCGAGCCGAGGCACAGAAAACATCGGGGCCACCTTTGCCCAAATCCAGGCAGCCGTCTATGCTCCAGCGCGCTCGCTAGCTGGACGCTTCTGGCGCGGCTCAGAGCGCTAGAGTGTAGGCGGTTGGCTTGGCCACGGAAACTCGCACAGCGCACATCTTCGCCACTTTTGCTCAAGTGACTGAGCCCAGGCGGCCACACTCCAGCGCCGCTCGCTGACCCTTCGCTCTGGTGTGGCTCACGCAAAGCGAACATAACATCTGCGCCACTTTTGCTCGAGTGACCGGGCCCGGCCGCCTACACTCCAGCGCCCTTGTTTGACACATCTGGCGTGGCTCAAAGCGGGCGCGGGGGGGAATGTAGGCGGCTGGGCTGGCCACGGGCAGCTGCAGAGTGAGCGAACACGCGCGCCACCTGCGCTCAAATCCAGCCGCCTACGTACATTGCAACACCCTGCGCCCTTCTGGCGTGGCTCGGTGCGCTGGAGTGAATCAATGCAGACGGCTGGCTTGGCGGGCCACAGACACTCGCAGAGCGAGCATCCACGTCGCCTGCGCTGAAATCCAGCCGCCTGCATTCTAGCGCCCTGGGCCCTTCTGGCGGGGCTCAGAGCGCTGGGGTGTAGGCGGCTGGTGTGGCCACGGAAACGCGCAAAGGGAACATCGACACAACTTGCGCGCAAGTCCAGCCGTCTATATTTCCAGCGCCCTGGACTCTTCTGACCCGGCTCAGAGTTGGCGCCGGAATCTAGGTGACTGGCCCGGCCATGGAAGCCAACTCGCGAAGCGAACAGCTGCGCAGCTTCTGCTCAAATCCAGCCGCCCGCCTGCAAGCGCTCTGGGCCCTGCTGCTGAGGCCAAGGGCGCTGGAATATAGGCGTTTGATTTGGTCACGGAAGCCCGCACGGCGAACAGCCGCGCAAGTTGCGCCCAATTCCAACCCGCCGCCTATGCGAAGGCGCTCTGGGCCCTTCGTTCTGGCGTGGCCCCGGGCGTTCTTTGGTTGGAATGTAGGCGGCGGTCTTGGGCACGGAAACTCGCACAGAGAGCACCTGCGCCGCCTGCGCCCAAAGCCAGCCGCCCGCATTCCAGCGCCCTGGGCCCTTCTGGTGTGGTTCAGAGTGAGCGCTGGAGCCTACCTAGGTGGCGGGCTTGGCCCTGGACACTCGCAAGGCGAACATCCATGTTACCCGCGCGCAAAGCCAGCCGCCTCCATTCGTTCCAGCGCTATGGGCCACACCAGAAGGGTCCAGGGCGTTGGAATGTAGGCGGCTGGCTTGGGCAGGGAACGGGAAGCCGCAAAGTGCGCGAACACCTGCGCAACTTGCGCTCAAATCCTTCCGGCATGCTATGTCCCAGCGCCCTCGATCCTTCTGGCGAGGCCCAGGGCGCTGGAGTGTAGGCGGCTGACTTGGCGGCCTTGGAAACTCGCAAATCAGGCAGACAGCCCCGGGCGGTTTCTGTTTCTAATTATTTCCTAAAAGTGGGCTAATTGGGGAGCTTGATGGGTGTCTTGTTGGCAACAGGGGGGCCGCGTTTGGCCGCCCCCGGGGCAATGGCGTGGCGCCGGTCTTTGTGTGTGTTTTGTGGGTACCGGGAACGCCCCGGAAGGTGTGGCGCGTCGACAATCGGGGGCCCGCCGCATCTCTCTGTGCATCCGCACCGGGCCCGAGGTGCAGCCAGGCTTCGCATTTGGGGCCTTTGCCGTTTTGTCATTCCTCTCGGGAGGGCGCCAGGGTTCCCGGACTTCGGTCTGTGTGTAGTGCCCTCTGCCGCGTGGGGCCCGCGCCCTGATTCCGGGGCCGGGGCGACAGGGGTTCATGCCTTTGGTATGTGTTCTCCACCTTTTCCTGGGGCGGCCGTCCGGTATTCTCTTCTTGGAAGAATCGGCGGGGCCTCGGGAAGAAGGCCCGCTTTTGCTTGCTAAAACACCTCCCGGAAAATCCTAATTTGAAATTCTACACCGCCGCTAATCTGTTTCGGACCCAATTCTGGACCCGAAAAATGCCCTGGCTAATTGGTACCTAATTTGTTGCTAATTGGTTGGCTAATTGGTTGGCTAATTTGCATCGGGTGGGAATTTCGTGTGTGATTTCGCTTATATCTCGGGCATAGGCAAAATCGCACTTGTTTTTTGCGTAGTTCTGCAAATTAGACAGGGTCTGGGGCCTTGGGGTTCTGCAAATTAGACGCAAGTTAGACCACCAATTAGAACAGGGGGGCAAAAAAATTAGACTACAAATTAGCAAGGGTTTTTTCGGGGGTCCGCCAGGTTCCGGAGGGCGTTCCGGGAGTTGTTTTAGACACCAATCAGCCAGCTTTTCTGCCTTTTCCGATTCGCAAATTAGCCGGCTTCGTTGTCTCCTGTTTCGGATTTCCCTTCTGTGTTCTCCTCGCCCGGGTTCGGCGCACGCGATGTCCTCTCCGGTCCGTTTTTTGAGTGCTTGGGGGTGGTCAGGTTGGCTGGGCGATGATGCTCGAGGTCGGGGGGCCATGTTTTCGTGGTGTCGATCCCATGTCCCGGTCGTCGGGACAGCGTGTGCCAATTTCGCTGCTTGGGCGCAGGCAGACCCACATCCGGAAGGTGTCCTTGGTTGTGTTTCTTTTGCCGGGCGCATGTATTGCCATCAACATGCTTAGCCCATCACTCGGACTTTGGGCGCCTGTCGTTTCAGGTGGGCTCGCCGAGGGTCGCCCCTTCGTGTTTTTTAGTACTCAAATTAGCCAAGAATCAGAATCCAATTAGAAGAAAAGGTCGCCCGGGCCTGTCTGCCTGATCGCAAAACAAACAGCCGCGCAGCTTGCTTGCGCGCAAATCCGGCCGCCTACATTCCAGCGCCCGCTCTGGACACTTCTTGCGTGGCTCGGAGCGCTGGACTGTAGGCGGCTGCTGCGGCTCAAAGCGCTGGCTTGTATGTAGGCGGCGGGGTTGGCCACGGGAACGCGCGCAACGAACATCTGCACAGCCTGCGCCCAAATCCAAGCGCACACATTCCAGCGCTGACCCTGGGCCTTTGTGGCGACGCTCTTCGCGGTCGCTAAAACTGAACACGGAGTCAGGTCCTGAATTGCACAAATTTCGCCTTTTTTGAAAACCTTCAGAAGACTCATACCTTCAATAGGTGCGTTGTAACCTTCAGAAGATTTTTGAACCAAAAAACCTTCTGAAGGTTCGCCAAAAATAATTCTTGACCTTCTTGAAGGTTTTGGCCTTCTGAAGGTCGTTTTTTCCAAACCTTCTGAAGGTGGAAAACGAAAGTTGCCACTTTTTCTCAAAAAACGCGAAAAAAATGACGCAGCTTTTTTTGACCTTCTGAAGGTCGAAAAATCTTCCTGAAGAGCTTCGGAAGATTATGCTTTCAAAACCTTCTGAAGCTTTCTTCTGAAGGTTTTGTTAACTTTGCGTTGTTTAAACAAAAGCAAAAGGCTCCAACGTTGACTCAAACTGCGCCCGGCCCGTGATGGGGTTCCGGCTGACGCCAAGCGAAAGCGCAACCTTTTCAGCAGAGGTGCCGGCGCTGTGCCAGTCGGACGCTTTTCGCCGTGTGAAAAGAGCCTGACTGGGTATCGTTCGCGTCTAGATGCTTCGCGCACTTCCCTCGGGATTCTGGGCCTCGGGAGCTCGAAGACCTTCGCGAAACGGAGCGAAAAGTCACTGACTTCGCACGTTTCCAAAATTCTCACTCTGGGAAGAGTGAACGCGCCTCCGATTCCAGAGTGAGAATTTTTCAAATTTGAGAAGTCACTGACCTCTCACTCCGTTTTTCGAAGACCATCGAGAAACGGAAGGAGAAGTCAGCGACTCCTCACTTTTCCAAAATGAAAACAAACTTTTCAGAAGTGTTGCACTTTTCCAAAGTGAAATCTTTCCAGAAATGAGAAGTCAGTGGCCCCCAGAATGAAAGCTTTCCAGTGATTTCCAAAATGAGAAACGGAAGGCAGGCCCCTTGTTTCTCAAAAACTTTTCCAGACAGAAGGCAGGCCACTTGTGACCCATGCGCGCACGCGCGGCGCGTTTGCGAAATTCCCGCGCTGCCACGCCTCGAAAGCCTTCGGGGAAGTTTTCTGGCTAATCATTCCGTCAGAGGGCTGCGAGCCATGCGCTTTGATTTGAAAGCAATTGCTTCGGACCTGAGTGATGTATATACTTTTTCCCACGCGGCGCGCGCCGCGTGGATTGGTTCTTACTTACAGACGAAAGAAAAGCGGCGCCGCCCGCACCAAAAACTAAACGAAAGAAACCATGGCGGCGCCGCCCGCATTTGAGACCGCAGCGGCCCCACCCGCATAAGAAAAAAGCCTTTGGCTTGGCCGAACAACCCGCCGAAGGGCGTGGCGCCGTGGGTGCTTCGGGTGTTGCCGTTGTTTCGGCCCCAAGCAAGTGCGAGGCGCGCAGCGCCATCGTAAAGAAAGACGAAGATCCCGCGCGCATTGCAAACCAACCTTCTTGGCGTCGCTTGACGGCGTCCGTCCAAGGCCATTCGAAGGCCCCCAGTCCGAAGACCCCCCGGAGGCCCCCCGAAGGCCCCCCGAAGGCCCCCCGGAGGCCCTTGATCGAAGGCCCCCCGAAGGCCCCCCGAAGGGGCACCTCGAGAAAAACCGAAATTTACTACGCCGGAGGCCCCCCGAAGGGGGTTCAATGAACCCCCGAAGGGGGGGGTCAACGGAGCCCCTTCGGGGGGCCTTCGAGGGGCCTTCGGGGGGCCTCGAAAAACGAAGGGGTACCCAAGGGGGGTCAATGAACCCCCTTCGGGGGGTCGAAGACCCCTCAACGACCCCTCAATGATCTTAATCATCATTAATAGTAGTTAATTATCGCATTGGGTCTTCGTAAAAAATCAAAATGAACATTCTCAACCTTGAAGTGAACCGATCTTGCACTTATAGTAGGTATGCAACTTTCCTTTTTAACCTGTCTCACAGCTGCGATACCGGGCGAGCAAGGATGTACCACAACGGCTCGAGGTAGCTCCAAAGCCAGAACGCCTCGGGTTCGAGCTGCATCGTCTGCTGCTCCCTCTGAGTTGCGGCCGCTTCGAGAGGCTGGCTCCGGGAACAACAACATCCCGCAAGAACTGGCTTCGTCCGCGCCCGGAGGAAGCGACATCATTTTCCTTCTTGAAGACGAGCCAGGGAGGGGCGCAGTCGGAGCCGCGCGAAGGAAATCAAACGTATCTGATGCGGTCGGTGGACATCAGCCAGGCGAGGTCATTTGTCTCTCCGTCGCGACGCCACGGTCGTGCGCGGTATTCGGCGTGTCGAGGACTGGGAGTAAAAAGATGGACGAGGTAAAAATGATAAAGCCTGTTCCACGACCAACGCTGCTTGCAGATGACCGGGGCGTGGTTTTGGTGGATTCGGACCCTCCTGCAAAATGTGCTAGTGGCGATACTACACCTGACGAGCAAGCGGCAGAAGTGATCGCGCAAGATCAACCGTTGACTCTAGTAGATGTTGACGAGAGACAGCAAAACAAACCAAGAAAATCCTTTCTTCGGTCGATTTTCGAGGTGGCAGCTGCATCGGCTTCTTCATCAACTGGGATTGGGAACAACCACAAACAGCAAAAACGCAATCAAATCGCAGGAGTAGTAGAGCAGGGAAGTAGCACGACGACCAACTACACTCCGCGGCAAACTACATCCACGAGGCTATGGAACGGTGCAAATCTTCTTTCCGAAAATAACAATACGTCGCGTAGCCAGGTACTACGAAAGCAGGACCTTGAGAGACCCAGCGATACATCTCTTGGAGGCGGGAAAGGAATAAGCGGGCCATTCGAGTCGTCGTCTTCGAAGCGAACAAGCAAAACCGCGAGCAAGGATCTCGGTCAAATAAAGTTTCACCGCCTCATGGCCAAATACGATCTAAAGCGGTAGTTGTCAAAAACCAAATAAGATTTCAGCCGCGTGTAGAATTTGGTGTCCCTAGAAAAATTGAGTAAAATCGAACTTGTAAGATTTGACACGTATGGTTCGTGTGCCGGAAGAGCAAGAGCTTAAACAACACTTGTAATATCGGAGCTGCAAAAGCCTTTGACTTACGTTTGTACTGAAATCGAGTTTGTAACAAACAACAACCCAAAAATACAGCTAGAAAACGAGTAGTGGACATTTTGGCACTAAGTACGGCTGTTTCAAACAAAATCAGCAATAGCAAGGTCTGTTTCACCGAGCGTCCAAAGATAGAAACACGGCTAGTGATACTAATGTTGCTGTAGAGGTGGTGTAGCCTACTTTGTGTTCGTAAAAAAAAAAAAACCGCAAACGCAATCCAAAAGAGAATTGAGCTTGACTTTCGCGAACCTCGGTTGTTTATGCCTCAGTTTTTCTCAATTCGGTTTATCGTTCACCACGACATAGAAGGAAAGCGAAAGGCAAAGATTTTGTGCCTTCAACAATCTCGGTGCCATCGCACGTTCTTTTGGTGCATTGATATCGTTCCTTATCGTGAAGAAGCGGAAATAAACACAGAAGAAACTACATCGTGCTTCCTCGTGCGCACAGGCTGCCAAGCTGTAAACGTTCTTTCACTAGGTCGTTTGCTCGTCTAGCAACATAAAAACGAGTTGTTTACATTGCAAAATTATCTGCAGGGCTACAAGAGCATCCACTGGTGAGTTAAGTACCCCTTAGCTCATTGACCTGTACTAATTTATTCCCCAACCACATATATCGTCCCTTTTATTTCCCACCTTTTCCCATTGTATTCGTTCATCGCAAAATTCGAGACTTTTCGTTTCCAGATCACATTCATAACCCTCCAAGCGTGGCTCTCATGCACCGGCGTTGTTCTGACGGACACGAGATGCTAGCATGATGAGTCCGTTGCTTGTAGTGAACCACCTGTAGTCATATCATTCTACGCACTAGGACTAGCCGTGCGCATTGTGTTTTTAACCTTCCTAACACATTCTCATTTTCCTTCATGTAACAAAGTTAAGTATTCGTCCAACCTGGGAACTACGCCTTTTCATTTTCCGAAGCGACGCGACGCGTGACGGAGAGCGGTCGAAAACCACGGCGTATTAAATGGAGGGAGCCGACGACCATGCCGTGCGGGAGTTCCGTTCGCGTCGTCGTGCCCAGTACAAGTCTATCAAATGTAAAAATGTCTGGGTCTGGAAGAATGCAAGATTTGTGATGCAGGTTTTCCATGACCCATGAGGCCTGGCATGCAGCACCTAGCATGAGAGATGCTGTGAGATGTCTATCATTCCTATCCTGCATGAGAAACTCCCTGTCAACCTGGTCAAAAGCTGACATCTTTTGGCAATCATGCAACACAAATTTTTGCATGATCCAGACTCAGCATGACAAGTTCCAATCTTCCAGACCCAGACATTTTTGCAAGTCATAAAGTCGGGCATCGACCCGGACGAGGAGCGGGCGAAGCGGTACCAGAATGACGTGATCCTGCGCAAAGCGGACAAGCACGAGAGACTGGAACAGAAGCGAAAGATCGTCGTGCAGAATATTAATTCGAATTCCAACGCGACCACTGGCACCACGACAGGTGGTTTAGGTTTATTTCTCAACAGTAATTATATTACCACTGGCACAGGTACAGTGTTGAACAATGGGGATGAAATCGAAGCTGCCAATCAGCGGATGCAGGAGCTGTTGCGGGCAAACCTGCTTGTGGATCGGGAGGAGCAAGAGCTGGTGCTGCGGGACGTGCGAGACTCCGCTGCAGAACATCAAATGGACTCGTCACCAGGTTCGTCAGAGATGTTGAGCAATGCTGACGAGTCACGCATGTCGCAAAACAGCGAAATAGGTGGGAGCGGCCAACAACTTGTTAGCCCAGCAACACAACAGGTTGGCACTCCGCTCGCCTCCCCCGCAATGCACATGGCCGCGCAAACGCGTCGCGGGCGCGGACTCGGGTCGCCTTCCGTGGAGATTCTGGCGACTGAGGACATCATTGACAGCATGGACCAAAGCGGGAGCGATTTGGACGACCACGAGGACGAGGAACAGAATATCTTCAAAAAAGCCACCTCCCCCACCGCCAGAAGCGCCGCGAATGCCCACCAAGAGCTTCCGCTCGCAAAGCTGTACCGCGTGCACAACTCCGTCGAGGAGTGTATGCTCTACTGCCGCACCGCGTCCATGCTCGAGCTCTCCCGCATTCTCCACGTGGCCGCCAACTCTTGCGCCTTTCAGCAGCAGCTCCGCGGTACTTCCTCCACAACAACCAACGGGAGCGGTACCGACCACATTGACAGCGATGTTGGAGCAGGGACTAGTACAACAGCGAACCACAACAGCGCTAATATGAACGATAGCACTACTGATCAACCGAAAGAAGAATTTTTCGTTGATGAGCAATTGTTCGTGATTCGGCGCGTAAACCCCGCAGACACGAGCCCGTCGCTGATCCTCGAGCAGGTTCCGATCGTCGTGGCCACCGTGCAGGAAACGAGGAAGCGGCTCGCGCGGGAGGTGAGCCCGCCCATACAGGAGTGCATCGACGCCGGGATGGTAAGATCTTTGGTGATATGGATTGTAAAAATGTCTGGGTCTGGAAAAGTGCAACTTGTCATGCTGACTTTGGATTCCAAAAAAATCTGTATTGCGTGACCAGCAACAGGGGTCCAGTTTGTGTTACGCGGAGAGGCCATGTCTCATGCGGAATAGGCATCAGGAAGCCCTCTAAAAATCCGTGATGCTAGATCATGCATTACATGAGTCATGGATCATACAAAATATGCATCACAAATCCCGGAATCTTCCAGACCCAGACATTTTTACATTTGATAGGTGACTCTGATGATGGAGATCGAGGAAGCGAACCTCCGGTTCGAGCTCTGCTGGGCGCTGACCAACATCGCGAGCGGGACGCAGGAGCAAACTGCCGCGGTGGTGCAGAACGGCGGTCTGGCCGGCTTTCTGCAGGTGTTGCAATCCCGGTCCGCGCTGGATCCGCGGGTGTGCGTCCAGTCCGTGTGGGCGATCGGGAACGTCGCCGGCGACGGGCCCGAATACCGGGATCTGCTGCTCCACCAAGGCGCGATCGGCTTGCTGCAGGAGCTGTATCTGCACCTCCCGGCGCTGTCCTGGGTGGCGGCGAAGAAGTTGGACTGCGTGCAAAACCTGATGTGGACCATGGGCAACTTGTGCCGCGGGAAGCCCAAGCCGAGGCTGAGTCTGGTCGCCCCGGCCTACAGCGTGTTTGCCGATGCCCTGTTGCAGGACCTGGACGAGAAGATCAGCTACGAGGCACTGTGGGGCTTGTGCTACTTGGTGCAATCTGCGGAAACGAGTGCGGATGACCATATGGGTTGCACGATAGACACACAGAGTGCGAATCTTCAACCAAGCGCCTCCATGTTGGGCGGTGCAGCAGGTGCAGCAGGAGCTTCATCTTCTACTCCGGTAGTTGTTAATAACAAAACCCGAACTACGAGGGAGGATCTGCAGCAGGAGACGCTGCAGGCGTGCCGCGCGTTTCTGTCTGCGGGAGAGAGGGCCAGCTTCATCACCAAGATGCTGGGCGCGGGGGCGGGATCCTTCGCGTTGACGCGGCCTGCGATCGACTACACGGTCTTCAACCACGTAGACCACGACGAATTGATTTTCGAGGACGACGAGGGCGAAGACGATATCGAGATAGAAGTGCTCGACGCATCAAATAATACAAATGGTGGACCACAGGACGGTGGATCACCAAGCTTAGGCGCAAATAAAAACGTGAGACAGAGGTCATCCAAGTTATCCACTAGCTCGTCCTCCCGGTCCAATCCGTTGGTGGACGCCTTGCTTGTGCACTTCTTCCGGTCCATGAAAAACCGGTGGGTGGTGAGCAAGATCCTCGGCGCACTCACGTCCTGCAAGGACCCGGCCGTGGTTGGCGCAACCCTGCGGTCGCGCTCTCTGTTCCCCGCCTTCCTGGCTTTTCTGAAATTCCCGGAGGGTAGGAAGTTAGAGGAACTTCTGCACCTTTTGCGGAAGCGGGAACGCCAGGCCCTGCGACTGCAGCAGCAGAATGGGACCACGAGGAATCGAACATCGCGGGAGCAGTACACGCATGTGGAGGACGGGTTCGAGTTTGCGATGGGACCCGAAGGATACAGCGAGAAGAAGTTGCTGCAGCACAAACGAGAGTGCGCGTATCTCCTCGCCAACGTCGCCAGCAGCCGGTATTCCGAGAAGTTCTGGGAGCTGGTTTTGGATCCGCCGAACGCGGGCCTGCAGTTGGTGACCGGGCCGCTGAGAAAATCACCCACAGGAACAACTACCGGTAGTACAGATAGTAAGATGATCCTGGGCGGAGGCGGAGGGGCATCTCCTACTTCATCCCAGCCAGCACTCGTCTACGGCACTGCAGCAGGAGGACAACCTCAATCGGGGCAACAGGGTACTTCTAATGGGGCGTCTGCGCCACTTCCTCTCCACCCGGACCTTGCCGACTTCCAGGAACAGATACGCGCGGCTTCGCGGAGCGGCAGCAAGAGCGCCGGCGGAGGGGCGGACAACACGAACAGTGCCAGTTTGTCGAACGAAGATGTTGAAAACGCCAACATGACTCCGGCGAATAATTTATCACCTGGTCAACAAGGTCAAGATAATCAAAGCAATAGTTCCCTAAGGAAAATCCACTACACCGGCATCTGCATTCTCCGGGACGCGGTCCAGGGTATTCTCAGCTCGGACACGACCTGCCAACGGGAGTGCGCGTTAGCGTTAGCCCGGTTGATCGACAAGACGTACCTCGAGCGACGGGTGTTCCTTGCAAATGAGCTCAACATCGTGAAAGTCTTCACCGACGTGGTCAATTCTTCCCTGGCCGACACGGATCCGGAGCTGAAGGAAAACTGCATAAAGTCCCTGGACACGCTGTTTCAGTTTTCCGTCCTCCACCCCTGTTTGGATTTGAACACCAAGCTGCAGTCCTGGCAGCGGTTCGAAGAAGCCGACTGCCCCCGGGTTTTGTCGCTCCATGGGACTTTCAGCAACACGGCGGAGCGGTTTGCGCGAAGCATGGAATTGTGGGAACAGCACGTGGACGAGCAGATGTCCTCTATGTTATGCATTACAAAAGCATCGTACTAGTAGAAATCGCATAAACAAATTTTTCCAAGAAGAAAACTGGATTTTCTCATGCTGATTCAGGTAGGAAACCAGATTTGTCATGCTAAACTGCAATTTATGCGAGTGCGATACTTTTGCACAGGATACATGTCCGGGTGGAACAACTACAACGACATCAGCTGCATCCCGGCCGACGGCGAGACGTTCCGGCAAAAGTCACAGTTCAGCATCGTCGAGCAGCACCGCTTACGGTTCAGTCCCAATTTCGGCGGTGGGGGGAGTGAAGAGAATCTTTCTCCGTCCATACACAGTTTGAATTCCTCCCAGGACACGCAGATGCGGATCGGGATTCGAACCCCGCTAGTGTCACAAGACAGCGAATACAACAGTACCAGCAGGGACAACTCGCCTAGAAGGACAGGTGGAACATCTTCAATGGCGGTGGAAGTAGACAATATTAACAACTCCAAAGCAGGTACAACTTCTAGACCGTCGCCCCGGGCGGGAGGCACGACAGCAGCTGGTGCGTCGTACAGGATGTTTTCGCACCGATACGCGAACAGGCTGATAGAGGACCACGACAGTGCAATGAAGGACGGAACTACGAGACAGATGAACCAGAGTGCGAACAACAACAATCAACTTCTTTCTGTGGCTTTATTAAATGCCATTTCCGAGAACACGAACGACATCGAGGACGACTCCGACATGCACACGCCGAACAGCGAAAACAAGAACTCCACCTCCCGCAGCCGCCAGGTATCCGCGTCCTCCGCGTCGTTGCGGAATCGCAACCTTTACCTAGATAGTCTCGACAGCAGCGATGAGGGCGGAGGAACGAACAGCAACAGCCTGAGTTTCAACGCGAGCGGCTCCTTCGGCGATAGCACATTAGGGAAAAATAAGACCAGTCAGCAGTTCTTTGACTTCTCGCCCCCGCAAACCAGGGGCAGCAATGCTGGTACTAGTGCTTCAGTGCAGAGCTTTCTCGGTGCTGGCGGAGTTGGAGGTCCGCAAGCTCAGCCTCAGGTAGAAGACAGAGAAAACATCAGCATGATGAACTTCTAGTAGTAGTGGAAAATTCGGTTGTTCTATCGAGAATCGATGTCCTCTTACATAGAACGGCGAAAAAATAGGTTTCAGTTCGTGAACTGCTGGTGTCAAGCTGCAAGATGAACATTCTGGCGCTTTTTATTCGATGCTGCTTGTAGTCTCGTGTTTCGCGAACGGAGTGTATAGGTTTCATTTTCAGTTGAAATAATCTGTGCTCTGTCTGTTTCTTTCAGCGCCCTTTTCCAGTGCCTGCTATGTTTGACAAGCGAGGGCGCGGGCACTCGACCTACATTTGTGAATGTGTTCTATTGGATAGCAAAAGCAAGATGCATTTGCATTCGCATTTTTTGCTATTTGTCTTTGCTTCGTGGCGTTGCGTTTTCACTATAACAATCGTTCCGTTCTTTTGCTTACTTGTAGTTTCGTTCTCCTGTATTACGATGAATGGGCAACAAAGTGTCTCGTTGTCGTTTTCCTTTGTTGTCGTCGTCTTGGTGTTTTCCTTTCTTGTTCGTCTATCACCCTGTCTCCCGGTCGGTCGGTGCCTGAGATCATTTTTAGATCAGACGTTGTTACTTTGCGTTTGGACACATTAGGATCTAGCTTCTGCTAAATGGATCG